GTTACCGTGGTAGCTTTAATAATAAGAAAAATACATATAAAATAGGTACCACAGTATATTTGACAGAATATCCGTCTTGGAATAAAATGACACGAGACATCTATGGAATACGAGAAAGGACGATGCGTCTCTAAAGCACACAGTAAATGCAAAGCCTTCCGCCCACGGTGGACAAACGCAGCGTTTGTCACCCCAAGTGGTAGTGAACGACCCTCTGGGCTCATCGGCTAAGGGGTTGGGTGGGGTGGTGGGGGCAGGTTGCAAATATGAACGTACATTTACATACCTTATTCCTGTGGATGTAGTACAAGCCATTAAGCAATTGCTGCATGACTTTCTTGATTTCCGAGAGTGTAAATTTCACATTGGCATTGCTCAAGAGTCCGGCAAGGTCATGCTCGCAGAAATCAAAGACCAAGTAGATGCTTCCCTTGTAGCGGTTGTATTGTGTCGCTGCGTGGAAGAAAATAAACATTTGGTTTAGACGCAATTTGGGAAGTTCAAACACCATGTAACAGAAAAAGTGCAATTTGCTGATAAATTCAATTGAAATCCCGAGTGCATTTTTAAAAATAGACTGTGGCAGAAAAATAAAGACAACAGACCTGTTTCTTGCTCACCTTTAGTGCGGCATATCTCAATGAGGTTAACAACATTTTCATGCTTGAGAAGCTGGAGTATTTTGATCTCCCTTAACGCTGTAATGGGGAACTGAGAGAGGACAAGACCGGTGGCTTTAAAAAAACATCGGTAACCATGCCCCTTACACCTCCACAATCAGTCATATTCGTCAAAGATATTTAATTGGACAAACAGCGATGTCCACACTTGACAAAAAACGCGCAAGCATAAAGATGGGATTCGTGCCAAAACTTTGATTTGAAGTGTGCATTAATTGTGCTTCCACATTCACTAGTTTATAGAAATATAACTTTCAATACGACTGTCGGACAATCTCACATGAACACCCAACTTAGGCACTATCGAATACTAACGAAAAAAAAATGTACAAGTCACATTTAGCACAGTGACACTGGACCGTCTGTGAAAACGAGCTTCGCAGCTCATTCATATTCCTCCAGGATAAATATAAACTCCCTAATTATTTTTCAACAACGGTTTTATTTTAAAGTGCACTAAAAAGTAAACAACTCGATTGGACAATGGGCAGAGGACGACATCTTTATGACGAGGCACGCGGCGCCTGCTTCTTGGACGAGGCGATTCAAGAGTTTAGGGACCGGCGTTTATGACCTACCCAAATAAATATTTAATTAATAAGCCTTTCATACAAAATGTTAATGGCTTTAAAAGAGCCAATTAATTGATACCGATTTTGATACAGGCATGCACTGTCACCGGATCTGAGTACGTGTGCAAAATTTGGAATTGATTGGACAACAAGTAGATTAGAATTTGTATTACAAGATTTGACCACGACAAACATAGTAGTCAAGTAAAACCGTTGAAAAGAGACTCGAGTTGAAAGTTAGTAAAAGACGTGAGTTCAAAGTTAGTGAGCACGGGTGTTGCAAAGGCGGACCCGATTCCTCTCTGGTGAACGATTCAGTGCGCGGCCAACACCGCTTGCGATGAGACCGCTCAAATGTCTTGTTGGTAGATCGTCTGGCTCATTGGCCGTAGGTTGCCCACCACCCACCTAACACGGACTATACATGAACAACGCAAAGCTTGGGGGGCGTGCAAAGGGCCTCTCTTTTCTCACTCACCCCTTCCTTCTCGTTCTCCATGAGCACTTTCTTCAGAGCCACCTTCTTGCCCGTCACTCTGTGTCGAGCTTTGAACACCTCCCTGGAGAGCGGCACACACACGCACACGGCGCAACAATTAGGCACGAGATCGTTTACATTGCCCGCCCTGTATTAGCACGTCCAGTGCATTGCCTAACAAGCCTCGTTAGAGTCGTTTTCAGGAGGGCTCCCCTCCCCCCACGAAATGTTTTTGCAGGACGGGGGGGGGGGTATCAGAATATTTATTTATACTGGCGGAATCCGATGAGCTCTAAAGCTATTTTTCACAAATGTCCAGTGGAAGCGGGTAAGAACGTTGCAACAGATACAAAAAAATGTAGGAGTGAGAAGTACAAGAAACGTAAACAAATCACCCAAACACATAAAAATCATACTAAACCACCCTCATCCTATCAGGCAAAGCCCAGAGATATAGTAACTTTTTTCATAAGCGACCTGGCCACAAACGATAGCCCAACAAAAAATCGGCCTATCATTTGGACATGTTTCGCAAATTAATCTAACTAATAGCAACGCACGTTTCTAAATGTAGGAAATAACTAGAGGACCAGGACAAAAAAAATCCACGCGATCATGGGGAAAACATTCAAACTCTAAATATACATGGAGGCGTCAGGGTCAGAACTACCCCACTACTCCTGCATACTAGGCGATAGTAGACAACGGCACCCTCTTACAAATTATGTTACGGATCTTTAACGTCCATTGTGCAGCAGCAGACGGTGCGTATTTTAATTGCAAACGCATATTGAGTAACACACGGGTGGGGGGGGGGAATGCTCGAGAGACGATTGGACGGTGTGGTTAGGCACAGCCCTGATTAAACCAAAAACACGAGGACGTCGACGAGGGAGATGGAGCGTTTTAAACTCGGCTCGCGTTCAGGAGGCTAGAGTAGGGGGTGGGGGAGGTGATTTCCGGCAATCAAAATCACAAGAGCTATTCCCCCCCCCCTTAGGATATCGGGAAAGGGGAAACCCTCAATTCAACGTTTAAGAGCCCCAATTTGCTCGCGAATACGAGACCGCTCGTCGATAAACGTCACGAAGCAGCCTTTAACGAGGCCGTAAGACCGCAGACCTCCCCACCCACAGACCCCGTGAGCTTGGCGACACACGGAGACCGTGGGATGGAGATTTCGCGTGCGAGATGGCGACGCCTCGCAAAGGACCTTTTGTCCTGACCCATGCAGCGTATGCACAATGGCCGCTGATGCCGGCCACGTGGTGGGAGGTTGTTACTGTAATGTGCCGGGGCAGCTTGCCGGCAATATATTCGACGGTGGATTGTATGGGGCGCGTTAACACTTCGCGATTCGTCGTGTTTGTAAACCAAGACCTTAATCCCCACAGCCGATTTTTTTTGGTCAATCCACCGCTCGATGAGAGCCTTCGCACGCCGCGTGGGCTGTATGTTTTATTTTTTTATTTAAGCTATACTTCACCACCCTGGTTTGTGCGGATAACATTAATCACGTATGTTTTTTTAATAGCGTCGTTCATGCTAAGGTGCATCTCAACAACGCTGCACAAGACAATTATCAATCAAATATGAAAACAATGTCTATCGTAAGAGACGTCACAATTCTACATTACATTTAATTGTTAAACCAGCATATGATTTAAGTTATCGTAATGTGTTCACTCGCGTGACTATATGTTTTACAACACAACCCGGGATAGAATAATGGTAGTTCACGTACAGTATATATTCATTAAGCTATAGTGCACTGTTCGTAACTGCCCAGCCATTTTGTCAACGCACCAGCGACCCCCCCCCCCGCTACCTTCAACCACGCCGATCGCCGCTGGTCGGCGAAGCCACTTGCCCTCATCGTGTGCGCGTTAAACCGTACCCGTCACCACAGTCACAATAAACCGAGGGGGAACACAAAAAAAACCTTCCGCAATTCGTGACGAAAAGTCGCCGTGTCCACAAGTCCCGCACGCCACAATGGCCGCCTGCTCCCTACCCACTCCCCCGCCACCCACCCGGCTTACCCGAACGTTCCCTGGCCGATCTTCGCCAGCTTCTCGTACTTGGACACCTCGTCGCAGTAAGGGAAATCCAGGTTCTCGTATCGCGCCATTCTCCCACCACGCCGCGTGTGCGAAGAGTTGTTCTTCTTCTTCTTCTCTCTCGGCCTCGATAACCAAACAGCGGAGGACGCGCGCAGCCCACACGGCTTCTCTCCCCCTTCTTCCCCGGCCACGAGAAGTGACGTCACCACGCACGAAACGTCATACGTCACCACCCCCCCCCTCCCTCATTCACGCGCTGTCGTTGCGTGGGTGACGCCATCCCCACTAAGATTGATCAATGCCGTTTTGACGTCAGTCCGCAAAAGCGAGAGCGATGACGCCATACGTGACGAGGCGTGGGGGAGGTGAGCTTGCGCGATGACGTCACGACGCACAGGTCTGCACACCACGTGGTCAATTCACCGCGAACAAGGCCAGATTTATGCAGCTGGTTTCCAGCGAGGTCGCTGCACCTGGAGCTGGAGCAAAGAGAGTCGAGAGCACGGACGGTTTGGGAGGGGGAAATACAATTTTAAGTTTGAGCAGATAAAGGAACGACCTATTGTTAAGAGCCATCTGCAAACAAATTTTTACTCCGTTCTGTCTCCAAATACAAATATTTAGTCCATCAGTCTATATCGGCTTTCCACACCAAAGTTATGCAACAACGTTCCTTTAAGAAAGCAAACTCCGTACCGGTTTTGACCTTTTATATTTACAGACCTGATTGGCAGCATCTCTCCACATGAACCAAGCGTGCGTATTGATGTAATTAAGTGTGCATCTAACGCGATGACGTCAGGGCATACGCGTTGAAGTCTTCCAGCTTACGACGTGACGTCAATTTCCACAGACCTCGTTTCTCGGACGGAGGAGGCCGCGTGCCGCGCGTGATGACGCAGCCACCCGCGCGGGTGCCGACGCCACTTTTAAAGCGTGCACTCTTGCGCGATGACGTCGGACTACATGCGTAATGACGTCGATTCACTCCGCGTCCGCAGAATTGCGCGAGATTCTCTGACGTAAGGGGCGGAACAGGCCCGTGCGCGATGACGTCAAGACGCACCTACGCGATGACGCAGCCCCCCCGTACGCGTTGACGAAGCACCCCCACGTGATGCCGCCAGGACCAATCAGGTGGGCGCTGCGCACGGGAGGGAGAGCACTGGTTGAGCCCCGTTGTTCGGGAGTCCGAGGCGGTGTAAGTGGCGCCGCGTTTCCCTTCGGCGCGCGGCCTTTTCTTTCGCGTCGCTCGCGCCGTTGCGTGCGCGCTTTTGTTGCGGTTGTTGGGGCGCAGGGAGGCTGCCGCGCGCGGGATGAGAGGGGTCGAGGCCGCCGTCGGTTTGGCGGGGGCCACAGCGCGCCCGCCATTTTAATCGGCACGGCTCAGCGCAAAGGCGGGTTTTGTCCGTCCCGTTTTCGCGCCGATGTTGACGTGTAACCGTGATCGTCGTTTGGTGACTGGGTGGTTTAATTGTTAGTCGAGATGGTAGATGGGAGCGCATGGTGCCGCGAAGCCGACGCTCGCTGCTATTGGGCGCAGGCCCGCATCTAGGCCAAAGCCTTTCTGTTTGCCTGGTTTTACTGCCGGTTAAGGTACGCCCCAGCCCCGGCTGAGCCGAGAAGGGTATCCGCGTCCTCGTTCTGACTCCCGTTATCCGGCCCGAGATGTAAACTTCGCGCCCTAGCCGCATTTATAGTTAAAAGGAATTGGTGCTGAGCACAAGCATTCGCGCATGCACAGCGTACATCAGTATTTCCTAGTATGTAATATTTTCATGTATAGGTAGGTGTACGTGCTTTGAACGTGTATTATGCATATATTGCACATTTTAAGTGAGGCCTTCATCCAGCAGTGGATTTATCGTGGCTGATATTTTACTTTATAGTTAACGTATTTTGTTTGTTGTGCATATGCATTAACGTTATATTCTGTATTTATAGTATTTATAACTCGTGTTTAGGCATTGGGAGCGCCTTTCACTTCCGATTACACATAACGCAAGGTGTTACCGCTTGCAATTGTAACAAATATTCAACATTTAAGACATTCAATTCCGGGTCTTACTAGAGCTCTTAATAAAACCGCTATAATAAATATTGAAACAAACTGAACCGCATCCATATTCAAATCAAGTGTCTCTAAAATAAACTTTAAAAATAGGTTGTTGTAAATAAAGTGCATGTAAGCGTGCCAGTCTTCCTCGACCTTAGTTGAGCCTTTACTGCTCGTCTCCGAGCATTCATAGCCGAAAGGTACTCAATACGTGTTGTAAACATGGCAAGCGAGGAAACGGCAAGTCTCAACAGAGACGTAACATTTCCGATAAACGCGGGAGTTGCCGTGCTTACACAAACGCTTCCAGTGCACACAAACCCACGCGCTCACATACACACGCACCGTGCATTCACATGCTTACAAAAAAAACATCCACACAAACGCAAGCACATATAAACAAAACTGCGTTTTATGGTTTAGTTTGTTGTCTTTTTTTCCTGGACCTCCGATGTTTGTACATACGTACATACGTACAAACATGCACATATACACAAATACATGCATCTTATTATTCTATAATCACAAACACTAACAAAAACAAAGATATACACGTGCATATAAACGCAAACATTAACTTATACACGTCAAAGCTGATGTACACAAACGAATGGACACAATACAGGTACTGTACGTACTTAGATGAACACATACAATCACACATGTTGAAACACAGGACAGACACAAACACGTGTTCCTAATCACATAAATAAGCACACAACAAAACAGCCGCCAGTCGTCACTAAGTGGCGGGACGTCACTACAGGCACTTGTGCCAGTCTCGGTGCCCCTTGAGGCCACGTGAAAAGTCGAAGGATTGCTAGCAGGTAACGGGACAGACCCAGCCAGGTTTTTTGGGTTGACCGACTCAGGGGACTGGCATTCCCCGCTTGTGCTTCCTATTTTCCCTCCAAAAACAGCAGAAAACCCACAGAGCAATTAAATGGAATGTTCGCATAAGCATGCACGCATATATACTTTAATATAATCACATACGGACAGACAACTCATAACAAACGTTTGGATGCGCATGCATACGCGCACATACAAACACGCGTCGCGCCTGTATGCTTAAACTATTGTAACGAGAGCTGTTACCGAGCACCTATAAAGGCACAGATTCCCCCGGTATCGCTTACATATTTTGTTTTGGTAAGTGCTGTCACATACTTAAACATACACAGACATACACTGACGCCCGCACACACGCGCCAGACGGTCTCCTAAGTAGGTTTCCTGACCGTTGGTGTGTTCACTTGTGGTGGCTGTGCACGTGTTGGTGGTCCGGTGGAGTGTTTTGTGTTCGCCTGCTGTGGCAGGGTTTGTTATGTTGTGCAGCAGCGGTTGTGTTTGTATGCGCGCACGTGTTATTAACGTACTACACGAGGAGAGAGACTCGCAGGGCAGAATGGCCGTGCCGTCTTGTTGTTTTGCGCGATCCAGTGTTTACTGCCACGAAACGCGTTATTGCTATCTTGTTGTCGAGACGGACAACGGAAGTGATACATATATTGCATTAGCACAATTGACGAGATCGGTCAGTTACAGAGGGGACTTTGAAAGCATGCTTGATGCGGATGGTATAGCCTTCCACAGTGGTGAACTATGTTTCAGCTATTTAAGTTGCACGAGTGCTTTTCCACGTACCGTATATTATAAGAAATCGCATTCGTCTCTGGTTCTGTTTTCATTATTATTTACGTTAATATTGTGAAGTAAATAGGTTCCTTGTTGAATGGCTTGCTACCTTAGCAACATGATTTCAACATTGCTACACACAGCTTGTGTAATAATAGCAATAGTGCAGTGATGTAACTGAGGAATGCTGCCGCTTTGCAGTGGATTAGTACACTGAACCTGCAATCCAGAGGTCGCCGGTTAGATCTAACGGCGCGGTAGTGATGTCTGCTTCTTATGCATGTTTCTTAAATCCGCGCCCCCCACTTCTGCCCATCCAGGACTATCATTGGGTACATCAGTCGACTGGCAGGTCGAGTGTGGAGGGGTAAAGTGTTGGTATCCACCATCACCTTAAATATGAGTAGGCCAAAATACCCGCTAGAGGGGTCCTCTACAGCTCCCTCCAGTAGAGGTTCTTGATTCAGCAGTGGCAAAAGGGCTGCACCTTCACCACCTGTAACTCTAACCTGCGTACCTTGTGTTGTTTTTACTTGTCCATCAGGGGGAGGTTGGTGATAATGTAATCCAAGCCGCGGAGTTACAAAAATAACAAGGATACCAAGTGTTGATCTCTACAAGGCGTGAGTGAACCTTTCAGCTGGCTCTTCATCTGAACGGCACGGGCGCCAGAGAGAGGCTGACTGACACTCAGGAGAGCATGTCTGCGATACCAGCCGCGCCGCAGGGCGCTCAGCCTGCCACCGCAGCGGCCACCACCGCCAGCCAGAGTGCCAACCCGGCTCCCCCCGAGACATCCAGCCCTGTCAAGCCAGGCCGGCTCACCAATCAGCTGCAGTACCTGCAGAAGGTGGTCATGAAGGCCTTGTGGAAGCATCAGTTTGCCTGGCCCTTCCATCATCCCGTCGATGCTGCCAAGCTCAACCTGCCGGTAAGCAACTGAGTATTTCTCTGTTCACCGAGTGTCTTTGTTTTGCTGAGCAAAGGGCCAAAATGTAAAATAACAAGCAACAAGCAGCACAATCATGGTTGTAATAGATGAGAGTTGACACATTTCTTGAATTTAGCAAGGTTATAAAAGCTTAAAATAGATGATGGAAGGGAATTCCAAAGGCGAGCGGTGCAAGGCATGAAGCAGAAAGAGAGTCGTTTTTTCCCGCATTGTGGTAACTGAACACACTGCGGATGAGACACAACTGTTCTGGTAGACAGTCCTCAACATGGGGTTGCGGAATGGGAGAGCGAAGCTCACGGAAATAGTAATGATGGCCATAGCGATCGAGGAATAAATGAGGCAACTAACTGGAGTGAGCGAGTGACCAGAGTGACTCGGTGAGTGCTGGATCATCAATCACCCTGTGACTGCCTTATGTTGCATTCTATCAAGCACCGTGAGATAGGGACTGGACACACCACCCCAGATATATCCTAGGTTAGCCAGGAAAGAGCATTTGACTATGTATGTATGTATGTTGAACTTCGCACCGTACGTAGCCAACCGTGCAAATCGGAGGTGCGACAAGTTAACATTGTATACAGTACAATATTACACATCTGACCATTGCATATCTATCCTGACCAATTAGGTAAAGAACGGAGTGAGGGTAGTGCATTCTGGTACATAGTGTTGTGTGTTTATCGTAAAACATGCTCCAGCCTTGCTATCATGTGTGTTATCCGCTACAGTAATAGGCAACATTTATCAAAATAAATATCAAAGTGCTGGTTTGGCAGATGTACATAAGATCCATCACTAACATTGCATTATGTATATGTATACCTCTTTTGTAATCTACTCCTGTAAGTCGTGGGGGTTGTTTGACCACACACTGCTCCCTTGCTCAATGCGGATGGATGAAAGGAAGCATAGCATTACAGCGCAACAGAGGGTTTTGTTCCACTGTTCTCTGCTGCCAATAACATTGTATTATAATAGAGTATACACAATTATTAATACAATAGACTGATATTCCAGGCAAGTGTCCTTTTAGAAGAGAGGGCACAGATTGACTGACTTAAAGTTGAATATGACACTTTACATTGGTGCCCTAAAAAGTACAATTTGAGTTGGGCTAACAGTTTATCTGATAGACAACGTGATTTCCCGAGTGAGAGGTGTGGTTTTTGCCCAGCTCTTGTCATTTTTGCAATGATCAGGGGAATATGTTGTCGCACTGTTCTAAATAAAAATTGATTGCACACATAGCAAGCATCTGTTGTGATCGTTTGCGTCTCTCTGTAAATGAGACACTGGACAGGTTGCTTGACGCACTTCACGCCGTGCGGCACTAAAGGGGGCGCCCCGCTTAGCTTCACCTCTCCCAGCCCCCATAATATTTGCATTCACCAACTTAGAATATTTCGCCAAGCTTGTCGTGTGGATGTGCCAAGTGCGCTTTGCCAAATTTTTACCCCCTCTGCGTAGGAATGTTCCCTCACTTTGTGTGGAGAATTTTTACTCATTTGCTGCCAAAATCGAAGTGTTACAAAACCTGGCGTGTTCAACTATTAACAACATTTCCCTGGGTGCAGCCGGCGTGAAATGATGACAGGCTTTCTTCAGAACATTGGCCAGTGCTCTTTGGACCCGGTGAAAGTTACGCTCTCGACAGCAACAGCACTTTCCGATTTTTCTTTTTAAACAATTTTGAGGGTGTTCACGCTCTGCTTCATAAAGCAGCCGACATACTCCATGTATGTTTACTTACAATTTGACAAAGCGACTCGGATATGTCATGTAATACAGCCCGGTTATATAATTTGAACGCAGCTTTACGGCAAGCTGTGTCTCGTGCGCATTGACCGAGCGCCCCATCGTGAGCTGTACCTTTTCAGGGGGGCAACAGGTGCACGTACACACCTACGCCCGTTTTGCAGTGGCTCGGAGAGTCGGGTGGTGTTTTATAGCTCGCGTAACAGCGGCTCTGTAAGATAGTGTAACCGGTGCAGAGAAAAACAGCTTGGGGATGTGGCCAGCCTCGTTTGCTCTGCCAGTGACCTTGTCCTGTGCGCAGACAACACCGCCTCTACCGCCGACGCTTTTCCCAGGGTCGTTAGTGCGCAGGCAGCTTACACGACCTCCTGTTACCTAATTCTCCGTTATCTGCCAGTGATTGTGTGCAAACAGCCATGTCTGGTTCTAACCCCTGCCCGCCTGCCCCCCTCCCTGGGCTGCAATGTTCTCCGTGTGATCCGATGTTGCGTTAAAAGTTCGAGGCGTGATTACATGTGTCACTTCCCTCAGCTCGTGTGCCCCTGTCCGATGCTTATTGAGAGATACTGTAGCTCCTAAATAATTTACACGCTAGCCTCTGTCTAATGGGCTTGGATTATCTGTGCTCTTGGTACACTTGAAATGTTCAGTGTACCACTGTAAGGTGATAAGAAGGTGTATATTGAGATAATGTTTATCAAACCAGAAGCGCTAGTATCATCAAAATATTGAATGTTATGTAATGTATACGAAAACATGTATCGGCTATTAGGATAGTAAATATGATTTGTTCATGACATGAGCTTTGTTGTAGGCCTTAATCTAGCAGCGGAAAGTTAATCGTTGATTGTGATTATTTAATTCATGTAAAATAGTGCAGCAGTTGCAGATTGGTTAGCGCACTGCTATGAACCCAGTTAATTGGTTAATGATATTTGATGTTTGTACCCCTCACTAGTTTTGTTTGTTCTCCTCCCACACCTCCGATTCACACGATTGGCTACATACGGTGCGAAACAACTTCAACATACATACAATGAGCACTGACCAGCATAGTAAAATATATTCATAGAACCTCCATGACAGAAAAGCATGTGGAGGCATTGATCCAGCAGCAGATTGACAAAGGGCCTTACATTATTGTTTTGTTTTATAGAATTGAAAAATACTATTTTGCAATTGAACACACTTCTGTTTACTGCACATATCGGATACGATTAGTTGAGCTAAACTGAGTTGCGAACTTACATGTCACAGAACAAGTGTTTGTTGTTCTTCGTTTAACACGCAACTGTCTTCTGTTTTTAAAGGATTACTACAACATTATCAAGAACCCGATGGACATGGGAACCATCAAGAAGAGACTGGAGTCAAACTTTTACTTCACAGCTGTGGAGTGCATCCAGGACTTCAGCACCATGTTTACAAACTGCTACATCTACAATCGGGTCAGTGGGGGCATGGTGCAGCTTCACGCCTTTCATTGACTTATGGGCTGCTTGACGTTACTTTGCCAGGCTTTGATGTACACTCCTGCAATCCACTGCCTTGAAGGGATAGGTGGGTCACGGAGGGGGGTAAAACTCCCCAACATGGCTTGGCAGATCGTAGTACAGAAAGTGGGTTTGATCACCTGTGTTAGCTTTTGTGTTTTTGCCATTCCTATGATTGGGCCTTCCCTGTGTTCTAGTTTACTCAATGTACAAATACTACCATGTAGATTTTCCCAAATTGTTCTGCTGTAAAATAACTCAATGAAATTTTTTGTTTTCATTTTGCACCAAGCTGTGTTCGGCACGATGGTTGACGTAGTTCCCCCCACGTGCCGGGAGATTTCAGTGTTTAGATGCTCGTTAAAATGGAATTGGCCAAATTTATCAATGCAGCACCCTCCTGAACGAACATGTCTGGAAATTGAGGCTTTCCTGGTCACATAATTGACATTAAACATCCAAATGAAATCTAAAATATCCAAGTTACATGTATTGCATTTATTCCAAATAATAATAATCCAAGACAAAGATGGTCTGATGTGGACAAATTGCTCTTGCTTGTTTTTTTCTGAAAGAATAACCCTTTGGGAGTTTGAATATATACTTTATTTAACACGTAGGCTTTCGCGACCAATATCATCCATGATAGAGGTTTTTGGGTTGGATCGCGTAAATATATAAATGTCGTTAAAACCCGCCTACCACCCGACACAGTCATCTAGTAAATCTGGCTGTCGCCTGATGAAGCTAGTTGTAATTACTGGCGAAACGTCGTATTCAGATTGTAAATGTTGTGGCTTGGTTCTCCAACACACCGGTGTGCTGTATTAGTGACGAATTGGCCACTTTCTGTTTACGTGACAACGTGTGGTGGCGGGTTTTAACGACACATTTATATATTTACGCGATCTAACCCCAAAACCTCTATTATGGATTATACTTTATTTGTTGGTCACTGAGATGTAAAAATCATGGATGGTGAACATTTCCAGCAAAATCAAGTGGCCGATCTAGCAGTTTGAAGTTGCATCAGCTCAGTCCTTTCATGGGTTTAGAATGGGTCGATTGCATTCAGTCTTTAGATTTCTGTGTTTAACCAGGTGGGAACGGAAGAGCGGCAGGATTCTTCCATGATCGGAGTTTTATTCACAAGAGTGACCTGTGTCTCCATAATGATAAAATAGAGCAAGGAAAATAAAAACAATCGCAGGAGAAATAAAAAAATTGTTCACAAATGTGTATCAACTTAAATTAAATTAAATGTTCTGGAACACAAGTTGAGTTCGTAAAACATTCGCAGTAAAGTTCAGTTAGAGAAAACATGACACATTATTTGCCAAACAAGTGAGGATACATAAAAGATAAGTTTGAGAGCTTGGGTGTCCTAGAAGGCTGTTTTTTTTCCTTGCGATCTTTGCAGTCAGTGGTTATGCATGACTGTGATGCCTTTCACACACGATAAGGCTTGGTGGTATGCATTGGTCCTTCAAATGTTTCGGTGAGATCTCGAGTCGTGCTTCCCGACAGCTTTTGGAAACGTTTTGCGTGGATCACTCGGCGATTTTTATATTTTTTTAACAAACCCGCATTTTTGCCCCTCCAGACAGCTTCTCGCGGCCCTCTTGAAAACATTTTAGCTTCGCGTGTTTGTCGACAGCAGGCGAGAGAACATTGGAGCGCGTGTGTGCTTGTGGCCGTGGGTGCGTGACATCACGCGCGGCACGATTATTTCTCCCGTCGGAGCTTGCCGCTGACTGGAATGAAATTTGGCATGTTTGTGTTGGGGTGAAATGCAGTTGTTGAGAAAAAAATTATGGTGTGGCGCAAAAACGCTTTAAATTTGTATTCGTGAAAATGACGTTCTGCTGAGAACAATGTTTTCGTGCCGTTTGCTGGCTGCGAGAAAGTTGTTTTGTGGAACTGCAGTGAACAAGTGCCTGCAGCTTGCAATGTTCCTCAGATCACTGAAATGCCATGCTAGTAGTGTACTGCTACTCCAGGTTGCATTTTAAGCACAACGTTTCATTTGATCCAATTAATTGAAATGTATTAAAACGTATAGACTCGCAGATCCCTTAGCATATTTTCAAAGCGACAATAGCTATTCAGAATGTAGCGAGTTACTCCTTTTCTCATTCACGGATATTTGGTACATTGTCACAATTATGTGTCTGGATTCTGTTCAAGGAACATTTATGTTTTTGTTATTTTTTTACCATTTCGATTTTACTGTATCTCTTATATGGCGGGATTAGCTCCAGTGGGCAAAATGTAGTGTTAAAACTTGGCTTATACATTACACCTCACTTGCATGGAATCATAAATAATTGATCTCAAAAACACATTTCCTGGATTAATCGGTGCATCTTTGTGTTCCTCACATCATAGCAATATTTACTTTTTAACTACTGGCAAAAGCAATGTCAGTGCATATACTGACATACTTTCTGCCCATGTATGATATTTGACAATTATTTGAAAGATACATTTTGTAAAAAAAAAAAGTAATGTAGTTAATTACTGCAATCGTGATACAATATAATTTCGATGTATGTAGCATCTGATTGCAACTGCATCTCAAGATACTGTACAAAACGCATGGAAAGAGCAATTGATTAAATCGTTAGAAGAGATTGTTTATTCCTCCAATGTGTTATAGGTTCACCTTTCCTAGTAGCATATTTGCAAAAAAACCACACTTGACCAGATTAACTGTCACGTGTTTCACCAGCAGTGCATTGTCACAGTGCTTCCATTGGGTTTGCTGCGCCTTCGCTGCAGCTGGTTACCAACAGCAATGAACCAACACGTTGCTTCTGCGATATCCGCGCATCTCACGCACGCAGCGTTTCTTGCGCGCGCGTGTGCCCAACAGCCCAACGACGACATTGTGCTCATGGCGCAGACGCTGGAGAAGTTCTTCCTGCAGAAGGTGGCCGAGATGCCTGTGGAGGAGATAGAGCTGGCGCAGCCCGTGCCACGTGGGCCCAGAGGCCGGGGTCGCAAGTCGACAGGTAAAACCCCGTGATGGTCTCCTCCTCCACCCACTATTTCCCACCCTTTCAGCACACACTGGGCACACAGGATACCTTACTGCCCAGTCAGAGCTGCGCTGGGCATACAAACACACACATACACACAAACGCACGCATACATTTCCCTTTTAACGCTTTTACAATTAAGGTTGACAGTATTATTACATTAGCGCTGTCTGCCTGCCTGCCTCTAACATGGGGTCACGGTAACTCTCATAAAGATGATCCAACGCAACTCAAAATGTTTGTGTAAAGTTGTGTTGCTATTAGGGACTTCCCTATTGATCAAAGGCTGAATGGTTAAGCCCTTTCAGCCAAGGCGTTGATGTCACACGCCATGTTCTGTCTTCGCTTGCCCACGGTACGTGACGCGTGACGTCATCTCCATCTGGCTCGGGAGGGAACGTTACTGTCACTACGAATTAAATGCTTCGGGGGGGACCAATGCTTATGGATTAATAACAAAAAAGGGCTTTACATGTAACCGACAGACCATTGAGACTGAACATCTACTTTTTTAAACGAGATCTGGGTTAAATAAGTAGAAACTTTAGATTGATAAATTACAGCGATTGTAATCATTTTAGAAAATAATAATAATGTAATGATTCAAAGCATGGCAAAACAAAATCCAAACGTATGAAAACATGTTTGGTCGATAGAAGCAAGAAATATGTAGTTAAAACAAAATAAAGAATTAACCGTCCTTTTTTATGTGAACTGTTGAACAATCATGTGCACGGCATTAACGTGTTTGAAAATACACCCAAAGTATAATTGTTAACATAGCTCAAAACACATGTATATTCATATTGTACAATTTTATACTTGAGGATATTGTTGAAAGTTGACCTGTTTGGCATTGATTCTCAGTTGCGTTATACTGAGACATTGTCACTCCGTGTATTAGCATCGCACACTAAACGATGTTTAAATTGACACTGACAGCAATATGTACCTTGATCCTGACCACACAGCTCAGTCAAAGCCACTCAGTGTTGCTGTCCAGATCTATAAATTTCTACTTTTTGACTGAATAGCCCAGCTCTAATTTCGAGTGTAGGACTTTTGTGGCAGACCCAGACAAACCTGGGATGATGTTTTTTTTTACGCTTAACTTTTAAATCTTTTTAGCTATATTCCTGCACGTAACGTAGCTTACAGAATTGTCAGGTGCGTGTAATTGTCACTTGGTACTGATTCTATAGTGTTGTAAACATGGGTGCTTCTATCTGTAGAAACGTACCTTTTTTAGTTGGTTCTATTACGTTCTTAACTCTCTCATATGCAGTTATTAAGAGAAAATCCATCTCTAGGCTTAGCTCTCCGGTGTCTGTTTGGATTGTACGGCACGTTCTTCGACACAATGTCTGACGTTTTGCTCCACGTGCTGGGAGCTTTTTCGTCACGATGCCTTGACGTGGGTGCGAAACGCCGGACGTCTTGCCGAACGACACGCTCTGTAGTCCGGAAACACATCGGAGATCTATAGAGCGCAGCCCGCGACAACCTACTCGGCCGTAGTGTGTAGGCTTACTCGGTATTACAACGCGCAAGTGTATTCGTGTCGCTATTGTGTGTCGCTGTGCTTAAGGCAAATAAAAACTGAGGCATTGGAAAACGACTCACCCTGTGCGGACTTTCATTAACGAGCGGGAGCGCCGTGTCTTGTACTCGTACTAGCCGTGAGCGTTGTCAACAACACGTACCTTTCCCTCGCGCCCTCCCAGCCGCCATGTCGCCGGGCGGGCTAGGCCAGCAGCAGGCGGTGCCGGCGGGCGGAGTGGCGGGGACGCGGTTGCCGGGCCAGACAACGCCCCAGCGGCCTCCCAGGGCAGCCGCACTGGCGGCAGCGGCAGCCAGCGCTCAGCAAGTCTCCAACGCAGACTCGCCCCCGTCTGGATACTCTCCCCCTCATGTAGGTCCCTCCCAGGGGTCGATTGTGTGTGTGTGTGCGCGCGCGTGTGCATATTTGTGTGGAGGTGCGTATGTCGGCTGGCGTGGTGCTGGGTACACCGCCCCCCTCGTGCGCCATGTTGAACTCGATAGGTGCTCGCAAATAGAGATTGGCCCAATAACCAATGTAGGCTATACGGGAGGTGGTCTTTGTCTTTGTGGGAGGTGGAGGGACGGCGTAGTCGTTCACGCACTTCCTAATCCAGTGACCTCGTGTTGAGTTCTAGGCCATAGCCAGCGTTGGTGACGAGTGATGTTTCAACCGATCATCAGCCTGCCCTAGGTCAACACTGCATGGTGTTTTGTGTAAACATCAGTACTGGGAAGACAAAGGTGGCCACGCATGGTTGCTGGCCGCACAACGCCCTCTTGTGCCTTGCCAGCCTTAATAGGTGCTCGCTAACATCACATTTCACAGCAGTTAAATCCTTTATAGCGCATGTTTGACCCGCCTTTTTGTGTGTGTATGCAGTATCACATCCTGAGTCAGGCCTATATCAAGTCCTGTCCTTGTTTTCCCCATTTGGTCACGCACCATGGTCTTCACCAATCCTGCTCCTCAGATGCAAAATGTATTATTCAGTACTTTATGGAAGGGGTGGATGATGTAACAAAAATCTGGACTTGAGTTGGGCAGATGGGTAATGGTCTACATTTGAGTCGTAAAATCTGTATAATTTTTGCCATCCATTTACGGTTTACTTTGACCAGAAGAATTGTAATGAGTTTTAATATCCCATATGACAGCACCATTGCGTATTAAAATAGATTAAAATTGATAGCCGATCTAAAACGAATCAATAGCCCATATAAACATACTATCCAACTGCGGTAGATTATTTCTTTAAACAGAGCGTTTGCTGTGGGTTGAGAATGCCATGGATATTTTTTTTCACTAAAACGAAGTGAAATGCAGGTCAATATACGAGTAATGTACATTACCAGTGCTCCCAGTTTATCAGGAAGAGGCTTCTGATAAAGTTTGTATGCCATTTATAAATTTTAAATAAAGCTGCTGTAGTTGGCATGAAATGTGCCTTTACACGCTAAATTACTCAGAAAGCACAAGTCGAAAAAAATTGCTTAAATATTTTCATGGGTTCAACTTGTATCTCACGGCCTAGGCTCAACAACATGAATGTGAAACATGTAAAATCACATTAATGAAATAGTCGGGGTTTGTTCGTACGTTCCTTGTGTGTACAATATTATTTTGTTTCAGTTCCCATGGTTGCAGCATCCCTCCTTCAAAATGTCTAAAAAACATTTTCCAAATATCTTCTCTATTCCATCCTCCAACATACTAGTTTCAGTGCAACGTTGAGCTAATTTGCCTTCGCCAAAACTGGACTGGCAATCTTGGGGTCACCGGTTCGATTGACCTCCCGGCGCAATATTTGAAAGAATGGGCGAGTTTCTTAAATCCTCTCGCCTCTACCACTCGTTACTTGCTCGGCAGGTGGCATGTGGTGGGGTAAAGTGCGGGCACTCCCATCTCTACCAAGACATCTGGCTAGCGTGGAAACATAGGCCAAAATTACCCTTCTGAGGGGACCTCTAGCAAAGGCCCTTCCGCGAAGTACCGTACTTTCTTGACACAAGCTTGCCGCGTCGCGAGTTGGCGGTAATGGTTGTCGCGTATCGGTCCCTCCCGCAGGTGGTGCAGCGCTCGACGCCGGCCCGTCCCGTCGCTCCCCCCACCCCCGCCATCCCACCGGCCGCCACCCCGCCGCGCCAGCCCGCCCCTCCGCGGCAGCCGGCACCTCCGCGGCAGCCGGCCACGCCGCGGCAAGCGATCGCCCCGCCGCTGGCCCCCCCTCCTCCTCGGCAGGTCGCGCCCCCTCCTCGGCAGCCCGCGCCGCTGAGGCCGGCCACGCCGCCGCGGCAGCAGGTGCCCCCAAGGCAACCGGCGCCGCTGCGCCAGCCCGCCCCGAGTGTGGCCCGTCAACCGGCGCCGCCGAGGCAACCGGGCCCGCCAAGGCAGGCTGCGCCGATCCGGCAAGCTGCGCCGATCCGGCAGCCTGCTCCGGGACCCCGGCAACCTGTGCCGCCCCGACAAGGCGTCCCACCAATAAGGCATCCAGCCCCGCTGATACAGACTCATCCTAACTTCCAGCCTGTACAGGTTAGCGCTGTGTGTGGGTGGTGTAGGCGAGTATGTGTGTACAGGGAGCTGTGTGTGTGTATGTGTGTGTGCAGACACAAGCGCCGTGGTGACGTCGCCGCCACTTCGTGGCAAATTGCGGCTGTTATTGTTGCAGGGTAGCTGTGTATGTGTGAGTGACAGGTGTCTGTGTGGTGCAGTTGTGTATTTACATGGTAGTTATGTGTGTGTATCTGTGTGTCTAAAATTTATTGTGCTTCTGTGTGTACAACTCGTTCTGTGTGTGAACATGTGTATTTGTTATTGTGTGTACAGGTTTGTTGTATGTGTGCGTGTCCTGCTTTTCATGTGCTTTTGTGTTGGCCACTCCTAGTATGTGTATATTATATATCCATGTTATAATTTGCAAGAGAATGTGATTCATTTTACAACACTGTCGATGAGATGATATTTTAAGTAATATAACAAAGTTAGTAAGAAACTCAAGTCCTGAAGGGATAATGAACTCTTCATTTGAGAACCTTTGAGTTCTCCATACGAATAGGGGAGGGTGACGGGGGGCTGGTCGTGGTCCCAAACAGGTCTCACCAACTACTGTGTGAAACCTGATGCTGGCTTTTGTACTGTAAGTAGCTGGGCAGATGCAGCATTGCATTAAGAGGCAACGCGTGTTATCGCGCTAATGGTATGGGATGCGCATTACATAACAGATCATACCCATTATTATTATGACGCTTGTTTATCCAAGAAAGCCTCACTGAGTCTCAATAATTTTTCAGGAGGGTCTAGCGAGGTGTTTCACAGTAGAGGGTGATGTTGCTGTTGTGTAATTCCATTGGAGTGATTTTTTCTGCAAATTTTTTTTCGTTTGGGATGTTCAATACCATATGCTGCTTAAACCTTAGGAGACACACTAGCGAGCCCAGAGGAAACCCATAGGAGAACACGGGGGAAGAGAATGGACTAAAAACGCCTTTACAGGAAGGCACCCGAGTCCGGAACCAAACTGAAGACCCTTATTGTAAGGCACAGTGTAACCACTACGATGCCATGGAATGTGAAATAGACACAGCAGCAGTAATAAAATAATAATGTACAGTTTTAAGGCGCATTTCATCATGTGGATTATTGTGCTTTTGACTGAACCAAAAGCCAAGATTTTTCGGTTAGACTATAAAATCTCACACAAAGCTTGATGTCCTTTCATGATTTCTGTTAAAATAGAAAGAATGAAAGGCAGGTGGCTTCTCAGATGCGGAAAGGGTTGAGGTCATCGCACTGGATTCACCTCCCATTAAGCTTTTTGAAAGCTGTGCGGTGGGTTCTTATTAGCGGTTTCGAGTGCCCTTGCAGGTCACCGTGAAGGGAAGGGGGGGATGCACATGTGCATCAGCAAGTACATTGATGGGCTGGAGCGGCAGCCTACGTTTAGTTTCCCCACACCTCCGATTAGCATGGTTGGCTATGTACGGTGCGAAAGAAGTTCAACGTACATAGCCGAGTAGTATTTGCCTTTTGTCAAACCATATGTTGTCTATTATGTTTTCATCACGTATAAAAGTGTAGAGATGTTGGGGTGGAGCAGTGGCGCAGTGGTTAGCACACTGCTGCGAACCTGGCGACATGAGTTCGATTCCCAGCCACGGCTAACATCAGAGGCGAGTGATATCCAAACTGTTTCTATCTCGCCCAGTTCTCCTTTGTTTTGTTTGTTTTCTCTTTATAATTCTAGTGAAGCAAGTCACAATTGCAATGTGGACTATCCTGGTCTCTCGAGTTCTCACCAGGTTAAATATAATAAGCTTCAAACACATTCCCGCATTGACCAGCATGGACAATTTTGATCAACTAGCCCCCCATGATTGGTGTGGGAAAGCCTTCATTTGGGATTGGGGTGCCACGGTGGCAAGATGTAAACTACCTCGCCTGGTATGCAGGAGGTTGTGGGTTCGATCCCGACTCTGCGTATATATTGGCTGGGGCGTCTCGCATTGACATGCTAATCTCTCTCGTATTTACATTTACGTTCAAATTCCTTCTCTAGCTCCGACCACTTACCCTTGGGTTGGGCCCACCAAAATCCTATATAGACTCTTGTTGCAGCAGTTCTTTATCCTACGTCAGCAGTTCTCCTGCTGTGTTTGTTTCACCTGATGACGGTTGCTTGTGTTGCGATCTAAACGCCGTGATCTATTCATTTTCTATCTACGTGACTTTATCGAAAGAACCAAAGCGTATGGATTGGGAGTTTGCATGTTCTCCCCCTGGTGACGTGGATTTCTCTCTGGGTCCTCCGTTTATTCCTTTTACATTTAGAAACATGCGTTTTAGAGTATTTACCTGATATACATTTCCACATGATGAGCCATTTCATTGAGCGATAATTTGTGGCCAGGTGACTTCTGAAAAAGAGTTTCATAGCTCAGGCGGCCTAACCTGGTAAAATAAAAATGGTTTAGTTTTAGTTTTCGATTCATCGTAAATTATTATTGTAGATACATTACAGTATTGGTCATCGAAGAAGTGTTTTGTTATTCAGGTTCTGGAGCCACAGTTCTGATTCATAATTGATATGTGGGTTTGGTCCCCACGTACTGTTCTCTGTTCATCAGTAGTATGGAGCGCTGTTGTAATAACCGCATGAGTCACAGGTTTATTGTATATTTTCTTGACATGTCACCTACGTCAAGCATAGAGAAGAAGTGAGTCAGCTTCTGCAGGACTCCATGAGCCGCGTCTGCACTGTTTGGGGTGATGACTCGTCACCATGATATTCTGCTTTCAGGGAATATTTCAGTGACTCATTTGCTAAGCTCTTGGATAGTGTGTAAGGAAACAGGTCTTGTAAGTGTTTTCAAGTAAGTGATGACCAGTGCTTGTTTAACGCATCTCTGACAATGGTATATCACAAATCGGCAAGCGCACGTGCTGATAAGCAATCTGAACTTCACATTGGGTTTTTCACTCTGCAATAACACTGATGTTTGGGAAGTTTAATATTACATTAAGTGGTTCTGACTGATAATAACAGTGATGTAATGTGTTCGTTACTGTAAGTCTTGCTCTTCCTGTTTAGCTGTTTTTTTAAAAAGCATTGTCATTACAAATGTGCATTACACTGTTATGACTCAAGCTGGGACTGGTTACTTTTGGGTTATGTTATTACTACACATGCCTCGAATAGTTCTCCCAGTACGAACACTCTTACCCTGGCCGATAAAAGTATTTTAAATCTTCTATGCCTTATGTCTTTGTTTTTATACATTTTCGATAATGATCTACGGGCTCCCAGATTTTATACGGCGTGCACTTGCCAATAATAAGCCCCACTCGGCAGATTAGACCTGGAAGGTTGAAACTGGCCCAGCGTTTGTATGTTTAAACACATTTTGTTGAACGTTAATATTGGTATGGAAATCCAAGAGGCTGATTATTGTTTTACTTTTTGAAATTCGGAGATCGAATAGACTTTTAAGCTATAATATTTTCAGTTGCAAGACAATAATTTGTCGTGACGCTACAACTAGGACCGAAATTGACTTCATTACATCGTATATTGGTAAACATCACTCTTTTATCATTACTGCCATGGCTACTGTCCACATCAACTTCACTCATTGATTCCGACACCCATGTTGAGGACTGTCTACCAGACCGACCGTTTTGTCTCGCCCACATTGTGTTTAATCACTACACTGCAAGTCACAACAACATACTCAACCACCCACACACTCGCCACACTGTAAGTCACGGTGACTATTTCTGCTTCTTCCTAAGCACTTGCTCCACTTTGGAATTCCCTCCCATAGTTAATCTTCCCAAGCTTGTATTACCTTGCCCATTGCAAGGAGAAACTTGTTAACTATTGATCTGTTGAAAGTTTGATTGTGTTGATTGTTGCTGACTGCTTGATGTTTTGGCCGTCTGGGGCTTTGTTCGGCAACTCTGTTTAAAATAAAATATAACGATTAAACTTGGGTGGTGCATCTTACGGAGGATCAGGTTTGCTTCGTGGGGTTAATAACATGGCCCACACCCTTATTTTACTTGTTCCTTTCCCTCTACACAGAGAACATTTGTATCACAACCGAACTCGATGTGTTCCATTAGCTGGATGCTAAACGTCTATGCTTGTGGTAATAATAAGTGGGTTGCTTGCCAGCACCAAATGTTCCGTGTGTTTTTTCATGTTCATGCTTCTCACCACAATACTTTGGACACGTGGACAACATTTTTTAATTTGGAATGATCAGATTGACAAATGCGCGAGGGGGGGGGGGTTCCTCTGACATCATGAGCACTCGAAACATAATTTTGGGAGGATTTAAATCGTATTCTTGGTTCTTTCGGTAAAGTCACGTAGAAGTGAAATAATTTAATTGGTTTACCAGTATTATTTTATTATTTCCCTTCTACGTGACTTTACCGAAAGAACCAAGAATATGAATTCCTGCAGTCACGAAAGCTTTAAATCGAAAAAGATTTAAATCGTGTCATTCATTGAGTGATTCACATCAGCTGCAGCTTTAAAGACAGCTTTCCGCACCACCGATTAGCACGGTTGGCTACATACGGTGCAAAAGAAGTTCACCATATGTACAGCCATTTGTTTTTATACCGAACATTTGTTGTGCTGTAATAACCTAATGCATGTGTAACGTTCGGCATAAGATATAACATTAGGATTAAGGTTTTGTATTGTAGAGTTACCAGGTGTTTTGCTAGTGGCAGCCACAGTATTCAGGACACCTTACTGAAAGAAATACATGTTTTCTATGCCTTTATCCTTTAATGAAACAACTGATTTCTTGGGTTTCGTAATGGGACGTGTCGAAGAGGAGATCCACCGAGGAGATGGAGCGATAAACCCGTTCTTGTGCAGGTACTAGGTGGATTATTAGATCGCAGGATCGAGAGAGACTTTGCTGGCTTGGGGAGACATTCATCCAGCAGTGGATTGACTGGCTGATGATGATCTTGATGATAATGTCTTGGGTGACTAAAATGTATGTCGGCTATGGTGGCACTAACCTGTAACTCAGCACTAATGGGTTCATGAACCTGTATGTGCTGACCTTGAGAGTTATCCCAGCACAGGGTGCAGGGTGACCCATTTATAGATAACCCCACTGATTTTAAAGACCATATGATTTCTCTGCAGCTGATTGAATATTGTGAAAGATATAGCTCCTCCGTGCCTTACAGAGGAGAGTGTAATAAGAATGAATTTGTGTATTACATGTATGTATGTTGAACTTCTATCACACCGTACCTAGCCACATGCTAATCGGAGGTGCGTATTGAGACGTCTGAATGCTTTGAAATGAACATCGGTGTAGTCTGGGCATTCCAGTTTTCTCCCACATGCATAAGACGCCTTGAAAAGGAATTGGATAAAGATCCCAATGCGGGACTTTACTGAAAATAAGTGTATTGAGAGTGAGGCTTTCCCAGACAGACAAACTGCACAAATACCATTTTTAAACATTAACAGAAGGAGATAACACAGTTGCATTTCAGGGTTGTTTCAGGAGTCTGGTCACTCACCACACCTATAGTCCGGCGTACCGCTGCGTTACGTAAACGCGTCAAGAGAACTGAAAACTGATGGCGCGAAGCGGTGGCGCGCTCGTAACCGTTACTTGCGGCTCCATCCTGTGTGTACGCGGCGCTAGCAGCAGCACCAGCCGGCCGGACCGAGGGGCCCCAGTGTGCCTGCCGGCGTGGGCAGCGCCGTGGTGGCGAGCGCCGTGTCCAGTCAGCCGGCCTCGCAGACGCAGCTCATGTCGCAGCCCATGGTGTCGCTCACGCCGCTCAATATCCAAGCCTTGCCGCAGCCGGTGCCGTCTGTCGCCACACCGCCAGCGTCCAAGGTGAGGCGGCTTGCCCCCCCCCACCTCGGGGCCCCTCCGTTTGCCGTGATTATGTTGTACTTGCCGACTATGGACCACAGTGAGAATCCTCACAATTTGCCGGAGTTGCGATTCAATTAGAGAAATGTTTTTTGGACTGTAATCTCACCCTCATCCAAACTCTGCCCTGGTGGGTGGTCGCTCATTCTCCTTGGCTGCTCCAAAAGCCTGGAATAATTCCCTCCATATAGGTAGGTGATATGCAAAATTCTAATTGTAACTGTGTAGTAATAGAGAATACATTTAGTGCTTGGCTGTGCACGAATCGGAAGAGATGAGGAAATTCAGTCTTGGAAATCACTGTGAATTTGGAGTTCCCTCTAAATGTCTTTTACCAAGTTCTTATAACCTTGCTCAATTTTAAGACATACTTTCATTCTTATGTTTTACATCTTTAGTCTGGCTGTTTGGTGCTGGGCGTTTGTCATTTTTTTTGGGCCTGTAATCCGGAACCGTGATTATTGAAACAAAAAAAAACAGAGCTCTGTTCTCCCCGTGTTTTGTGTGTGTTTTGCTTGTATCGCAGGTGCCCCTAGCACTATACAGACTCCCGATATAAATGACATGCCATACAAAACAGAGATTACTTCACATTAATAACACTTGGGGCCAGATTTATATCTCAATGAAATCGGCAAAAAACATGACTCGCTGTTGGTATTGAGGAGACACTGGAACATGTTATCATTACGTCTGACTTAGAGGAAGCATGGTTCATCACATAAGTTGTGCCCAGAGTGCAGTCGGACAACTTTGCACATGAACATGTTCCCTGTCAAACATTGCATAACCTGTTAAACCTGTATCTTTCGTTTCAAGCTCGCTTCTCACGCTTGTTTTTCACTTGGCGCTCGGTGCTTGCTCACGTCATTGCTGGAGGAAGGGTCCGAGCTCTAGAGAGCCCCGTCAGAGGGCCTTCAGCCTACTCTTCCATGCCAGCCAGGCATCCTGGAAGACGTGGAGCACCCACACTTTACCTCACCACGTGCTACCTTCAGATCGGCTGATCTTGGTGAACCCATATATACTGCTGCTGCTGCTGGGTGGACAGAGGCAGAGGGATATTTAAGAGAGCTGCTCCATCGATAATTGTTTTTTTTACCCTTTTATCTGGCAACAAACTGACACCTTTTTTACAAGGTGTTATGTTTGCATTGACCACAATACCTGCAGTCAGAATACAAACAAAAAACATAACTCTGATGATGTATGCACTGTCCTTGAAATTGATTGGTCCACACCCGAGACAGCTTTCATAACTCTGATAATATACATTATTGTGGTCAATGCAAACATGACTCCTTGTTAAAAAGGTGTCAGTTTGTTGCCAGATAAAAGGGTAAAAAATCAATTATCATATTTTGCTACTGGCAAAGGATGTTCCAATGGAGCTGCCCCATCATTTCATCTGCCCCTCCGGGAGATTAAATTGAACCGGCGACCTTTGGATTACAAGTCCAGCGTGTTAACCAATTTACAGCACCGCAGTTCCCACAGCATAAGAGCCCTGTTGTTAAGCGTGTGGCTTTCCCCTTAACGATCTCGCTTTCGCCCCGTGGTACCAATTGGGCAGGCGCAGCGCAAAGGCGTCAAGAGGAAAGCAGACACCACCACGCCGGTGCCCTTGGCGCTGGCAGACAGCGAAGAGCCCACGCCGCCCAGGGTGCTGGCGCGACGCGAGAGTGCGCGCCCCGCCAAGATGCTGCACAAAGACCTCCCCGACTCGCAACAGGTGCAGGCGGCTGCTGCTGCTGCTGCTGCTGCTCCCCAGCAGGTGGTTGCGGTGCAGCAGCAGCAGCAGCAGCAGGCGGCTTCCACGAAAACCATGACAATGACCACCACCACCACCACGCCAACAGCGACGGTGGCCACCGTCACCAACGCGACGCCGCAGCAGACGCCGCAGCAGCCGGGGCACGGCAGACGCGTGCGGCAGATGTCGGAACAGCTCAAGCACTGCAGCTCCATCATCAAGGTGGGAGAAGGGGGGGGTGCGTGTAGGGCAGTAAGGACTGGGCCGACGTTGACCACGCTTGCTGTCAACGACGTTGATGCCACCTTTGCGCGACCTCGATGTTCAAATGACCCCCGATGTCAGACACCCGCTTAGTTGACGCCAGGACCGCACTGCGTCGCTGAGCAGTGGCCGGTGTAGGCCAAGAGATATCAGCCTCGTGAAGGCGTACCGGCTGAGCATCTCGAACGTGCACGGTTAGTTCCCTTGAGGCATTGGGCCAAAAAATATTTAACGATACCACATGGGGCTGCTTATGCTAACCATTATTTCCTTGAATTTTGTTTTATGTCTGGATCAGAAACATGTCTGATAACAAGGTCAGCATGGTATCATCTTTTTAGCAGAAAAATTTAGTTAAAAGAAGGGTACCTCTTTTTCGTTTGATAGAAAAATCACATGATATGAAACACACAACGGAGTATGGCATGGCATATGAAGTGTGTATGGGAAACATATGGTGTATATGTCTGCCTGTGGTGGACAATTCCCTCGGTTGGACACTAGTAGTATATTTCAGCCCAGGTGGTACCAAGCAAGCCACATGCCTCATGGGCCCATGGGCTTGAGTGGGTTAGGAGTAAAATTTGCCTTACTTTCATGCCTCATTGAGTGTCAAAGGCACTTAGTTTTGAGAAAGTAATGTGGCAGTGTCTCTGTTAGTAGTCTAACACAAATCGGAAATTTTAAAACAAACACGAGTGTTAAAAATCCACTCTGAGTGTGCATTACACGACGGTCAACATTGTTCCCAGTTAATCCATCGGCGACGCATGTGTTTAACGACAAAAAAGTCGTCTCTTTCGCAGTCTTTATTATTCCAATTAGATTTCTCACCACAGTAGGCCATTGTTGTTGAGCTGCACGCCTACATGCAAAAGGTTTAGCCTAAGTCTCTAAATTGCCAGGGGTTGGCTTTTCGTGGACGATTGCCGAGCTTTAAACATTCCTTGGCTGAAATGCAGAGTGGTCCGTTTATAGATGCCCCCGCTCAAATAATGGGGAAAAACAATGGAGAAAGTAACATTTTGTCTTTAAAAGCATCTGCATGTCTGTCACCAATCTCAATGCACTCGCTAAATCTTTGAACACTTGACCGATATGCTTTATCTAACATAGCTCGTTTGATTCGCGAACAACATTCTAGTCATTAAGAGGGATCGTTCGAAGTCGGTAGGCTAACTGTAAACGGATCCACTTGTATAGAGAATCTCATTGACCCAACGTTACCACAGTGGAACGCATGGCACGAGGTTAGTGACGGTCGATATTCCCTATGGACCGCGTTTTGCTCTGCAGGAAATGCTTGCGAAGAAGCATGCGGCATACGCGTGGCCCTTTTACAAGCCGGTCGACGCTGAGTCCCTCGGCCTTCACGACTACCACGACATTATCAAGCACCCCATGGACCTGAGCACCATTAAGGTAAGCACAGGTGGGACCCTGTCGCAGGCACGTAGCTATAATAATGGCCAGCGCGCACCTTTATCACAGGGATGCTGCCGCGGTGTGATGGTCATCACGCTGGACTTGGATTCCAGAGGTCGCCGGTTTGATTCCGTTTACCGGCGAGGCGGTTAAAATCTGGGCACGTTTCTTTTAATCCTCACCGCTCCTGTTTGCCCAGTATTTTAAATGGGCACAACACGGTGAAGTGGCAGGTTGCGTGTGGTGGGGTATAATGTAGGTATTTTTACCACCTGTGCCTAGATGTCTGGCCAGTGTGGAAGAGTAGGCCAAAACCACCTTTTTGGAGGGTAGGCGCTTTCTTGAGTACCCTCTAATGGAGACAAGCTTGAGATGTTGTTTATTTATAGCTCTAACAAAAATCCAATGTTGTCACAAGTTGTAAATCTGTTATTGAATGGGAGTAAGGAAAGTGTGCGCGCGCACTTTGTAAATCTAAAGCTCGTCCAAATGCCATCGGTATTTTGTCATGAATCGACCCTTCATCCGCGGGCGATGCCAAACAAAGCCATTCCTTTTGCTCCTCGCCAAGGTTACACATCCTCTGCAATTTTAACAAGAGCCGGCTATTGTGCAGCTGTGTCACCGCCAAATCCGCATCGCCCATAATCGGCGATTAGGAGGGGATCCAGGATTTACGTGAGGGCACGAGGCTGCGGATGTGATGGGGGGGGAACTCTCTCCACAGCCGATGCGGTTGACACATTTGGTAATTTATTGAGATAGGCTTAGCTAAAGTTACTGCTTTTTAACAATGGGTTTTTTTTTTCTGTGTGTGTGGGCATTGATGGGGGCTCTGGATGGGTGCAAGGGGCTGGTAACCTCTCCAGCTTCAATTAATTACCAGAAAACCACGGGAAAAATATCCAGCTAAACTTGTGGGGCACAGGTGGTGCATAGGCCAGTCATCTTAGTCAGTCGACCCATGGCACCTGGGTCTGTCCCGTGACCTACCAGCGGAAGTTCGACACTTCACGTGGCCTTAACGTGCACACAGCCTGGCACAAGCGCCGTGATGACGTCCACCGCCACTTCGTGGCGAATGGTGGTTATTGTTGTTGGGCATTGATGGCAAGAAATCTGGTAGCAAGTGAGAGTCTTTCTGCTGAGGCTCAAATCCAGAGTTTTGACAGCTGGCTCAATGCTCCTACAAATATGTGCATTTGGGACACCCCTCTCCACAGGCCAACCAGCCACTGGCTGCAAAGTGTTTAAAATGTCACGTGGTGAGTCTCATCTTAAAATGCAACAAAACGATCGAGCCACTCATCTGCTATGCGAGCTGCAAATTTTGCTGGAAATTATCTAGAAGATACGCATTTAAAATGTCGATCATATGTAGCTGTGATGATACATTGGCAGAAATTGTGCAAAATTGTGTTCCAAGCTGCAAATCATGCTCCGCTGATGAGAGCTATTTTATTACAAGAATGGTTGGTGAGATGTACCAGAACTATTATATTATGAATGCTGCCACCAATCATTAGTTTATGACTAAATTACAGACATTATATTCAGATAGCGTATTAATGACTCGTGAAGTGAACACAAAACAAGAGTTAGCCTCAAGTTTACATTTTCAGTTTAGTGCATTTTCGTTTGTTCTGTGTATTGTATACACTGTTTGTATTTAAACATTGTATTCTGCTCTGCAATCACACTTCCTTACTGAGTAATTAAATACCCCCACGTGTTCCGGCACCCGCGAGATGTACCGCTTCACGGGGAGGCTTAGGGGTCCATACTTTTTGGTTCTATTGGTTAAAGTCACGTAGGTGAAAATAAAATAACAAAAACTCACGACGTTTCGGCCACAACACAAGCGGCCTTCATCAGGTGAAGGGACGAGACTGTCTGGAGGACATCACCTGATGGAGGCCGCTTGTGTTGCGGCCGAAACGTCGTGATTTTTTGTTATTTTATTTTCACCTACGTGACTTTACCCAATAGAACCAAAGAGTATGGATCCTAGCAGTCACGAAAGCTTTAAATCTAGAAAAGGCTTAGGGGTGTCGACGATGACGCGTTGCGATTTGTTCCCGCAAATGCCCCTGTGCTCAGGTGAAGCTGGACAATCGGGAATATGCCGCGGCCCACGAATTTGCAGACGACATGAGGCTCATGTTCTCCAACTGCTACAAGTACAACCCCCCTGACCACGAGGTGGTGGCTATGGCGCGCAAGCTGCAGGTAACGGCCCACCTCCCACTCTCGGCCCGGCACGCCGTGTCTTGTGTAGTCGCGGATTATCTGTTGGTTTTTAAAATAATGTTTAATTGAATCGGCAGTGCTTATCCAAACGGACAACATTGGAAAGATAGTGATTTTATATTCTTCGCTGTTTCGGTAAAGTCACGTTGAAGGGAAACAATAAAATAATAAAATATATATAAAACAATAAAAATTCTCACGACGTTTCGACCATAACACAAACGGTCGTCATCAGGTGACGACCGTTTGTGTTATGGTCGAAACGTCGTGAGAATTTTCAGGTGACGACCGTTTGTGTTATGGTCGAAACGTCGTGAGAATTTTTATTGTTTTATATATTTTATTATTTTATTGTTTCCCTTCAACGTGACTTTACCGAAAGAGCTAAGAATATGAATTACTGCAGTCACGAAAGCTTTAAATCAAAATATAGTGATTTTATGTTTCTATATTTGCAATGATAAATAGCATTCCCCTCTCTTCGCTATCTATGAATACATGTGTACAATCAACATCTAGTGTACAAGAGGGTTCTAATAATAATGGTCCTTCATGAAAATGAAATGCCTGTGACAAATGATAACTTATCATTTACCATCATTATATTGATAGACCCTTTAAGCTCACATTGAACCATATTTAACGTGAGGATGCAAGCGCACAACACTCTACAAGCAATAATATATGATGCCTCACAATATATGACTCATCCCTTTATGCAATATGTTAAATTTTGAGTATAACGTCTTGCAAGAGCTTATAGGGTGTGTTATGATACCAAAGACATCGTCTTGGCTGGGTCTCTGGGACCCAGGGCTGCGTCCTCACGTTAATCTCAAATGTTTGCTCGCAGGACGTGTTTGAGATGCGCTTCGCTAAGATGCCCGATGAGCCGGTGGTGGTCGCCCAGCCTCCTCCTCCTGCTGCTCCTGCTCCTGCTGCTGCTCCTGCTGCTGCTCCTGCTGCTGCTCCTGCTGCTGCCCCTGCTGCCGCTCCTGCTGCTCCTGCTCCTGTGGCACCCGCCGCCGCCGCGACTGCCGCCCCCACGGCCGCCCCTCCGCCGCCTGCCCCCGAGGTCGTGGTGCCCTCGTCCAGCGAGAGCAGCAGCCCCAGCACCTCGGAGAGCGACAGCTCGGACGAGTCTGAGAAGGAGAGAGCCAATCGGCTCGCCGAGCTGCAGGAGCAGGTGCTGTAACAATGTTATCTCTTAACTGCTTTTTCCATTGCACGGCCGAGCCTCGGCGGGCCCTTGCCCGTGCCAGCCCGGCGCGGTTCAAGAAGGCGCCAGGTTCGTTTTTTTTTACTGCGCGAGTTGACGTTGCGCGCACCGAAGACGACGCGTGGTCGTACTGACTGACGTCGCACACAATGAACGCGTGATTAGCCCCAGCTCTAGACCTGCTTGGACCCCAGTTGGATTCAGGTGTCTTTTTTTTTATTCCGAATATAACCGATGGAAAAGGAACCGTACAGCGGTTGTGGCAGTGGAAATAGGGTGTGTGTGTCGGTGTGTTGTGATCACTTGGGGAGCTGTGGCCTAGTGGTTATTTCTTAAATTTTATCCTGATCCACCTACAATTATTGCCCTCTTCATACGGAAAGCATCATGTCGTGTCCCCCCAAGAATCACTTCGTTTTGTTCAGTGAACGCGTACTCAACTTTTGTTTGCCCGATGACATCTTGCTTTAGCCTGACTTTGCAGCCTCCTGTCCCAAGTTGTTGTGAACAAAGATAATAACTCGACAAACGCCACGCGCCGTGTTACGTCATCTCGCCCGCGTGGCTGAGGGTGTAGTATTTTCAACCCGTCGTCCCGAGTCGCGGCCATGAGTGTAGCATTCTCGGTAAATTAATTATTTTGAGGACGATCGCGCGTCGCTGGAAAGCACGCGACTCGCTTGATTTCTCCTGCCGGTTGTGCGATCGTCACGAAGTGTTTTGTACCCACGATGCAGCATTCACCGTCATCTTTAAATGTTAAATCACCTCTGTCTTGTGACAGCTGAAGGCACTGCACGAGCAGCTGGCCTCGCTGTCCCAGGCGCCCATCTCCAAGCCCAAGAAGAAGAAGGAGAAGAAAGAGAAGAAGAAGAAAGAGAAGGATCGCGAGCGCACGGAGAAACCCCGCAGGAAGGAGGAGGGCGCTGAAGAGGACGACAAGAAGCTTAAGCTGCAGAAGAACAAGCCCCTGGGTCAGCCGAAGAAGCCAGCGGCAAAGCCCAACAGCAACAGTGGCAAGTAAGGCCCTCGATTTGGTGCACTGCCGTGCTTCCTGCGCAGGTGCCTCTGTGTGTGCGTGTGCGCATTGTGATCGCCGTCGGGGTCTGTCACGGTGCCCTGCCAGCGAGCCCTTCCGCGCTTCGGGTGATGGACTCGAAAACTCACCTAGCTTGGCACAAGTGCTGTGGTGGAGTCATCGGCACTCGGTGGCGAATGACGACTGTGGTTGTTGTATTAGGGGATGGAGAAGCGGCAGTCCAGTGGTTAGTGCGCTGCCCTACAAACCTGTCGACCCAAGGTTGATTCCCGCCCACTCGTAACTGACATCACTGATCAATATCTCTACTGGGCTTGAGCTTCCTGTAGGTCGACGCAACCTTAAATGAGTACCTGCTGGGGTATGTAAACGTTAGCACTATGGTTATGAATTTGGCCAGGTGTGGGTGCTGGCCAGGGCATAGGAGTGTAATTTATTGGGCATGTTGTGTATCAATGGTGTTTTTGAATGTTATATTATTATTAATGTTAGGTGCGTGCTCGGAATTCTACTGAGGAAGATTTAAGCATGGAGTGGAGACCTTACACACATTATTTGGGTCTTTCGGTAAAGTCACGTAGATAGGTATAAATTAATAAAAAGAATACATGTAAAATAAAAACTACGACATTTCGATCACAACATAAGCGATCGTCATCAGGAGGAAAGAGGGAGAAAGCTGCTGAATGCAGACTGTTTTATAGGGTGTAGTCCTCGGGTCATAAACGAAGTGGGCGGGGCGAGTGATGTTAATGTGAGAAATTAGCATGTTAATGTGAGACCGGAGAGCGGCATCCGCGACGAGTGCGCGGGTGGCTATGTTAATGCGATAAATTAGCGTGTTAATGTGATAGATTAGCGTGTTAATGTGAGAGGTTAGCGTGTTAATGTGAGAGATTAGCGTGTTAATGTGAGAGATTAGCGTGTTAATGTGAGAGATTAGCGTGTTAATGTGATAAATTAGCGTGTTAATGTGAGAGATTAGAGTGTTAATGTGAGAGATTAGCGTGTTAATGTGATAGATTAGCGTGTTAATGTGAGAGATTATCGTGTTAATGTGAGAGAGCGTGTTAATGTGAGAGATTAGCGTGTTAATGTGAGAGATTATCGTGTTAATGTGAGAGATTAGCGTGCTAATGTGATAAATTAGCGTGTTAATGTGAGAGATTAGAGTGTTAATGTGAGAGATTAGCGTGTTAATGTGAGAGATTATCGTGTTAATGTGAGAGGTTAGCGTGTTAATGTGATAAATTAGCGTGTTAATGTGAGAGATTAGAGTGTTAATGTGAGAGATTATCGTGTTAATGTGAGAGAGCGTGTTAATGTGAGAGATTAGCGTGTTAATGTGAGAGATTAGCGTGTTAATGTGATAAATTAGCGTGTTAATGTGAGAGATTATCGTGTTAATGTGAGATCGCATGAGCCACCGCGACGTAGAGGGCGGCGTCCGGAGGTGGCCACGTTGGCGCGAGATATTCAACCTGTTAATGTGAAATCGGAGAGCCGAAGCCACGGGGAAAAAATAAAATTTTTACATCGGAACGTGGCAGGATGGGAACATCAGAGCCAGTTATGACTTAAATAACGTCTTCCCAATGATTGCTGAGTTTTTACCTGTCTCGTTTGAAATTGTTTTTGTATATATGGATGGCTTCATGAACAAATCTTTGTTGAAAGCCACTGGGCTTATAAAGTACCTTCGTCTTAGAGAAATCTATTTCGTATGAGCCCACCGCATTAGGACAATGATCAGCCACGGCTGAGGTATTGGTCCTACCGTATTTCAGATTTGCCTTATGTTCACGAACACGGTCCGAGACATGTCGCTTAATTTCCCCAATGTAACTGCTGCCGCAGACACAGCTTAGTTTGTAGACACGCCAGGGTATTGCCTATCAGGGATCCTGCCCTTCACAGATGGGATCAGATCACGAATTTTATGTACTGTGTTAAATCGAGCCTGGATCTTGTGTTTGCTCAAGATTTTTGAAATATTTTTGGTGACCCCTGCTACGTATGGCAAGGTGATGGTTTTGATTGGGTCCTCAGATGGTTCTTTCTCAACGGTTGGGGTGGTAGCTTTACGGATTGTATGGTCCGGATATCCATTTATCTTGAGAGTTTGGTGCACGTGTTTCAGTTCACTGGCTAGGTGACGATGAAATTTCGATTTAAAGCTTTCGTGACTGCAAGGATTCATCTTCTTTGGTTCTTTCCGTAAAGTCACGAATAAAATAATAAAATAACACAATAAAATTATCTCTGAGAATTTTATTGTGTTATTTTATTATTTTATTCTCATTCTACGTGACTTTACCGAAATAACCAAAGTAGGTGACGATGGTTGGAGATGCATCGAGCTCTATGGTGTAGAGTTTTGATGAGGGAATTCTTCTGGGATGGATGGTGGTGGAAGTCAGGTTTTAGGTAGGCATCCGTATGTGTGGCTTTCCTGTAGACTGTCCCATTGAGCCATCTGGTCTCTTTTTGAATAGAACATCCAAAAATAGTAACTTGCCATCCTTTTCCACCTCCATGGTGAATTTGATGGCTGGGTGTATGGAATTAATGTGGTTGAGGAATTGGTTCAGAGCTGGTCAATCATGTGGCAAGATGACGAACGTGTCATCTACGTACCTCTTCCACAAGGACGGACGTCGAGTGATATACGTCATATTGGCCATTCAAAAATGTAAGCGAGCTTGGGTAGAACATGTCATGGAGAAGGAATGATGGCCTGTGGGCGAGAATAACGACATACGTAGGTGCCTGGATAATTGCTGCCTCGCAGGAGCGCGAGGAATGACAACAGCTTTTGGGTGGCTTTCATCCGTCAGTGGATCAATGATGGCTGATGATGATGGTGACGAGACGAATTACAATGAAACTGCTGCCCCCTCCTCCGCCCGCACTGTCACAGGCCTCCAAAGAAGCTCAAGTCTGGCGCTCTGCAGTTTGAATCCGAGGAGGAGGCGCCCCTGAGCGAAGATGCCGGCGGTGTTGGCGTCGGCAGCGGCGTCATCAGCGGCGGCGTCATCGGCGCCGTCGCCGCCATTGGCGCCGGCGGCGTGGAGGACTCGCAGCCCATGACCTACGACGAGAAGCGGCAGCTGAGCCTGGACATCAACAAGCTGCCGGGCGACAAGCTGGGCCGCGTGGTGCACATCATCCAGGCGCGCGAGCCCTCGCTGCGCGAGTCCAACCCGGACGAGATCGAGATCGACTTCGAGACGCTCAAGCCGTCGACGCTGCGCGAGCTCGAGCGATACGTCGTGTCGTGCCTGCGCAAGAAGCAGCCCAAGCCCTTCTGTGCGTCTCTCCTTTATTCGCGCGGAACACGGATCCCCCCCCCCCCCGTGGTTAGGTTTGGAAGCGGCAGTGGGGAACTTGCAGGCTCCTTTGGCCCGGATTTGGCTCGCACACGGCCTGCGGTCGGTCACACGGGGGCGCACCGCTTGGAAGCAGACGTGTTTACGCGTCTGTCACCGAGAGCGTCATTAATGAAGCTTCGTGCTCACGTCAGGGTGGAGCGGTGGCTGCGCGGTGGTTAAGCGCACTGCTCTGTAGACCCAATGACTTGACATGGATAGGTACTGGTCTACAGCCCAGGACAAAGAGCATATGTACCTGTCTGTATTTAGTTGGTTATCCTTCACCCGCACCTCCGATTAGCGTGGTTGGCTTCGTGCGATGTGAAATACGTTCAACATATATACTCAACAGCTTTTTATATCTTTGTGTGGCGTCCGTCTTAAAGCCAATGGCATGGGGCTTTGTAAGACTTGAAAAATGTGGCTATGCAAAAAAAAAAGTTAATATTGATTTTTTTTAACCTGGTGTATTGGTGATTTTTAAACATATATTTCAAGTTCGGCCTGATTTCTTGTCATTTGCAGCAAAAAAACGTAAGCGGAGAGATTCCGATGACAAGAAGGATGCAGACAAGCGGTTACTGGACCCGAGTGGGCACTTCATGAAAAAACCCCAAAAAGGTATCTGGCCAAGCATCACTTTTTGAAGTGAAGAATGCCTTAGAGAAATTGTACATTTAACCATTTGCATATTTAGCTAGTGGATAATTCTACACGATGAGTACGGAATCGATTTGTATCATTTTCTTCCAGATAATAACACTGAAGGTTGCCACGATAACATTTTCACACCGTGCCATACAATATCAGTTTGCGGGGTATGACGGTATTCACGATACCAACTGTGGTCTGTCGCGACAGTTCTAGTTTGAGTCGTTAACAATTCCACGCGGTCCACCAGCCCTTATCCTCTACAGCGCTGGATGGCAGGCGCGGTGTGCGTACGTACGAGCCGAGCTCACGCGCGCTGGCATGCGTGTGTGCTTGCTTGCGTTCGAGCCTAGCCTCACGCGTGTTGGCGTGCGTGCGTGCGAGTCGATCTCACGCGTGCTGGCGTGCCCGTGCGCTTTTCTCCACCGGCAGAGCGGAGGGACCCCAGCGCGGAGGGAGTCGGCGCCCCTCGGCTCAGCGGCAGCTCGAGCAGCTCGTCGGGCTCAGAGAGCAGCAGCGAGAGCACCAGCTCTTCGGAGAGCGACTCCGAGACAGGTCACTGCGACGGCCTCACTCGCAGCGGAATGACGTTTCTCCTCCGAGGGGCGTGACGATTCAATCGGTTCAATCACCTCGGTGGTACACATGGTGTTTGCGCACCGCTCTCTTGTTATCCTTCCCCCTGCACCAACGATTAGCACGGTTGGCTACGTACGGTGCGAAAGAAGTTCAACATACATACGTAGGGCAAGGCGATCGCCTAGGCGCGCTGTGTTTGGCAGACGAGTGTAGTCTGCCAGTAGCGGGGAGGGGATGATGTTGCTGTGTGGTTTTACCAATTAACTTTTGCACAGCGAGTTCCTTCTATTCTTTGGCAAATTTGGACCTTGACGCAAACTCTTGATTGCCAGGTTTGTAGTGCAGTGTGTGCGAGCTGCTAGGCTGCGACTTTAGAATCTTGAAGATTTACCGCGTCATCGTAAAGAATGTGAATTGTTCTAATCAGAGTTTCTCCGCTTTTTTTTGACCCTGTGAAAGATTGACGGTAGGGGAAGGAGGGTGGAATTGTTGCCCTAAATTGTGAGGCTTAGGACTTTTTTTCTGTACCTTCATTTGCCACCTCGTTTTATTCGAAGTTCATTTGATATAAACATTCCTGGAACCCAAAAACATCGTCATTGAGTCTGTGTACTCTTTGGTTCTTTCGGTAAAGTCACGTAGAAAGAAAATAAATTAAATAATAGAATGTGACGTTTCGATTGCGACACAAGCGACCGTCATCAGGTTGAACTAAATTTGAGAGACAAAACACAGACACGGAGACACATAGACAGACACACAAGCAGAGAGAGACAACACAGAGACACACAGAGACCCAATGCCTCTGTGTTTCGGGAGAGAGGGGGGTGGGGGGCAGAGAGAGAGAGATGGGTCTGCTGGAGCAGAGAAATTAGCATGTCAATGAGAGAGCTGTGTTGAAATCCACCTCGAAGCGGCCGGGGGAGAGAAAGTCCCAGCAAGTCTGGTCAATTTTAGAGTGTGTTGTGTGGAAATCCACCCCGACGTGGCCGGGAGAGAGAAAGAGCAAATGGACCTATGAGAGCCTGGTAAATTTTTAGAGAGAGAAATAGGCAGTTTGAGAAAAAAACTTAGCAATTTTTTGGAAATGCAATGCAACGCAGAGAGTCGGCCAACACACAGTTAACACATAACCTGGTTGATTACGTTCTCCAGAGATTGCTAAATGAGATGTTAAGTGCGAAATTTGACAAACAGAGACACAGAGAGAGAGAGAAAACAAACGTACATCCTCCCCGTAGAGGTGGTTCAAACTTGAAATCAAGTTTGAATCTGTGTATTGAAATAAAAGCTTCACGTAAAATAAAGCAAAGTGAAAAAAATATAACAACCTGTGGATTATATTCTTAGCTCTTTCGGTAAAGTCACATTGAAGGGAAACAATAAAATAATAAAATATATATAAACAATAAAAATTCTCACGACGTTTCGATCATAACGCAAACGTCGTGAGAATTTTTATTGTTTTTTTAATATATATTATTATTTTATTGTTTCCCTTCAACGTGACTTTACCGAAAGAGCTAAGAATATGAATTACTGCAGTCACGAAAGCTTTAAATCAAAATTTAACCTGTGGATTAAGTTAAGAAAACCGTTTTGGAAATTAAGAAAACCGTTTTTGGATATTGTGCAACTGAGATGTTTGATTTTAAGCTTTGAATCAAGGAGGATTTTGTTGTGGAGAACAGCTTGTTATATAAATGTTTTACTTATTTTAACTATGATCCCCTGTCTCTCTGCTTCAACAGAAATGACTGCCAAGGTAATGCCGGCCATACAGGCAGGTGGCGTCGACCTGGATATGATGCAGGTGAACCACATGGCCGTGAGTAGACGAACTGAAGCAACACACAGTGACATTATTACTGACAAAGGAAGCCCGGTCGGAGGGCTCGCAGGCAACGCCGCTGATCTCTCACTCTTCAGATCCTGGCTTCGAATCCAGGTTTCAGCCTCTGCCCATTATTAAACCGCATTGTCGAGTGCAAGTGAGTTTATGGTCTCGGCACGGTCACCCAATGACTGCGCTAAAAACACATCTGTCACGTGAAATTTGGTTCTGCGCACTTAATTGTTTCAAAATTTTAAGCTCTGGGAATTTAAACATGTTTCACTGTCACGCGAAGAGCATTACTCTGTGTGGCAGGGTACGTGATGGAAAAGTTGCTGCACTGTGTACTGAAGGAATCTCAAGAGCTTGTTGAGAATATAAATAACAAGATAAATAAACAAGACAATGCGCCTCCCTCCCGATCTTATTCGGTGATGGGGTTACCATGGCGGTGGAGCAGTACACACACGGAGTTAACCGTCGCGGCCTTGCGTTCGTGCGTGCATTCCAGGATTTGAAGGCGTGCGATCCATCTCCCGAGGCGGGTCCCCAGATGCAGTCGCTGCTGCCCAACGTGTGCTGCCTGGAGGGGCTGTCCAGCTTCAGCAAGTCGGTCATCCAGCAGCCGCTGCCATCGCCGCTCGCTGACGCCATGCCCTCGGGTACTGTGCGCGGATGAGCCCAGCGGTGTGGAAAGCCTGCGTGCCGGGACGGGAGGCATCAATCCCCTCTGTATCAAATGCTATGGCAGAGTAACAACAATAGTTGACTCTCCTCATCACTTGTATGCGGCTTATCCGGCCTGCGGATTAACCGTGCTTCATTGGTCTGTGGCAATGCAATGGAAACTCTTGTTATCTGGTAAATAATGCTCGCACCTGGATTCATTGGGGCTAGAGCCTATCCAGTTCTATGTAATGTCTGGCATAGGGCACATAAATCAATTGTCATTTACTGAACGTTAAAAAAATAATCACTAAAATCAATAAGTTCATTAGCTTGTGTATCAACCGTGACAAACATTTGTAATGATTAATATGTCGAACGTGTGGTGTAGGGGCTGCAGTGCACTCCCGCTGTCGTCGTTTGCGCAGCGTGTGTGGTAACTCTTTTGTGTGGCACTACCTCGCAGGTTTTCCTGGGGTGCTGTCACACCAGCCGGAGGCCGATGCTCCGATGACCATGAAGCAACATCTGCAGCAGCAACAGCAGCAGCAGCAGCAACAGCAGCAGCAACAACAGCAGCAGCAGCAGAAAGTATATGGGCAGTCGCTGCCACAACCTTCAGAACAGCAGCTCCTTTCACCGGGCAACATCATCCAGCCCACACAGCTTTTCCCGCACTCACTGTTGCAGCAGCAGCAGCAGCAGATGCAGCAGCAGCAGCCTCCGCAAATGCAGCCGCAGCAGCAGTTCATGTTCCCCACCTTTGCTTCGTTGCCACATCACCACATGCAGAACTCTTCTCAGCAGCAGCAGCAGCAACAGCAGCAGCAGCAGGCGAGAGTGCAAGCGATGATGCAGGAGATGTCATTCCACGCTCAGAGCCACGCTCACCATGGCTTCCACCAGTCCATGCCGTCACCGCACCAGACCCCTCTGCAGTCGCCACCGCAGCAGAGAGCCCTGCCGCACCTGTCGCCGCAACAGCAGCAGCAGCATGGAGTGGGTAGACCATCAGCCCCGCACAGCACGCAGGTGCCAGCGCATCATCACATGGGGCGGCCGCCTTCACCGCAGCATCACATGCTGCACTCTCTGCCTCCTCCTCCTTCGCAGCAGCAGCACCATCACCAGCAGCAGCAACAGCACCACCACCAGCAGCAGCAGCACCTCCACGTGATGCATCGACCTCACCTGTCCCCGCAGCACGGCTCGCCGCCGGAACTCTCGCCACAGTACCCTTCCCCGCAGGCACAGCCACGCATGCAGCAGTCGCCGATTTCACAGCAGCAGCAGCAGTCACGCGTCACCCCCTCGCCACAGCAGCAGCAACAGCTTCAGCATCAAAACGCCGTTGTGCAGCAACAGCGAGGGCAGCTGCAGCAGCAACAGCAGCAGCAGCCGCCACAGAACGTTTACTCGCGCATGCAGCAGCAGTCGCCTCAGCAGCAACAGCAGCAGGGGCGGCCCATGCAGCAGCAGCAGCAGCAGAGCGGTCGAACTCCTGCACAGTACCAGCTGCCGCCACAAGCAGCTGCTCAGCACCTGCATGGGATGGCTGGGCGAGGGGTCGGTGTTAAACCGCCGCCTCAACAGCAGCAGCCTCAGCAGCAGCATCAGCAGCACCCTTCACCGATGTCGCCTCCTCAGCCTTCGCCACCAGCCTGGGCTCAGCGCTCTCCACAGCAGAGGTCGCAGCAGCAACAGCAGCAGCAGCACCAGCAAATACCACCTTCCCCGCAGCAACAGCAGCAGCAGCAGCATTTCCAGCAGCCGCCGGTGTCGTCAGCGCTGCGTTCGGTGCAGTCGCCGCCACCTCCGCCGCAGCCGGTGTCGGCGGCCGCGCAGTTTGCTGCTCCTGGTCAGAGGCAGCTCCTCCACCAGCCCAGGGCGCAGCAGGTCATCCAGCACCACCAGACGGGGCCGCACCAGCCGCAGACTGCCAGCAAGCCAGCCCACCCGGTGTCCGTGGCTGGTGCGTGTGTTGGATGACGGCGTGTGATGCACGTGGAGGCACCCGTGGCGAGATTTCGATTAGCGAGTTTTAGCGAGGGTTGAACGCGTTAATGCGTTGGCTCTGGCTGTTGGTAGCGGGGGGCGGGGGGGTGGTGGCACTGGTTGAGAGTTCTCGATAACTCTCGTAACAGTCACCCTTTACAAACCGAAATTCTGTGTAAAGTTGCGTTCCTGTTTGTTAGAGATTAACCCACTCAGCAAACAAACTGGGCAAAACCTGGCGCTTAGAACCTAGTGCTAATAAACCAGCGCTTTCTACCAAGGCGATGATGTCACATGCCATGCAGGTTTTGCCTCCCTCTGACGTCAATACAGTGTGTAAATTCCTGCTACAGTTAGCGTCGGTGATCATAAGACTAAAGCACGGCCGCGAATACAGGAGGTTGTGGGTTCAATCCCAAACCTTGACGCCTGCTGTATATTCGGGGTTTGCATGTTCTCCCCGTGGTCATGTGGATTTTTTTCCGGTTCTCCGTTTTTTTCCCTTCACATTTAGAAACATGCGTTTAGGAATAATTGGCGTCCATAAACTTCCACGTGATATGCAACTTCGTTGCGCTATCATTTGTGGTCAGGTCACTTCTGAAAAAGAGCTGCATAGCTCAGTAGGCCTTACCTGGTAAAAACACTAAGTTTTTATAATGTTGAATGTGCTGTAGTTGTACAACAAAGCGAACCTACAAAATAATTATGATACCGTCATCTTGTCCTCATGATGCTTGACATATCCAAATGCTAAATTTAGTTGCAAGGATTGTACTTAAACTTACCGTTGAGCGTAAACAGTAACAATTGGCACGTTAAAACGCTTGTCCACATCACAATTTAATTTGTTTGGCTGTGTGGGATGGCGGACGGTTTTAACGACACATCTGGTTGGATCGTCACGTGGCCTCGTCAAAAAACGTAATTATGAATCGCGTAATCATGAACCTTGGGAAACTGTTATCGAGATAATGGTCATCGTAAAATTCAATGTCGTATCCGGGGAAACTTACACCGTGGCAAATCCAGCCACCGGCGTTGATGGCCGCGCCACGCTCCCGAGTGTGACGCCCCCCCCCCCCCCCCCCCGTGTGTGTCCCGTGCCCCGACCCCCGCAGGCCACCCCTCGCCACAGGCGCAGTCCCCGCTGTCCCAGCCGCACCAGGTGCGCGCCAGCCCCGGCGGGCAACGCATGATGCCCCCGGGGGGCCTCCGCGCCGGCGGGCCCGAGCCGCTGGGCGCCCCGCGCGCCGCCTACCTGGGCGAGGAGGAGCGGCGCTCGCCGGCGCTCCGCTCCGACGCGCCGGCCGCCCACCTGCCACAGATGCACCCCGGCGGCACGGACAGGGGCGAAGGCCACAAGCCGCCCGGCATGCACAGTATGGGGCACGCGCACGCAAACAATTCCACCCACCCCCTCGTGTCCCGTGCCTTGCCTTCATAGGCGCTCGCCAGCGGCACTTGCCGCTGTTGAGGCTACACGGGGGATGTTTTTGTGATGAGCGCGTGTGTGTTGGGCGCCCGTGTCCGCGTTGCAGAGCCCGAGCGAGAGCTGCAGGAGCGGGGACCCGTTGCCAGCATGCCCCCTGGACAGCCGCCCCCCCAGGCCCTCAACCTGAACCGGCCCAAACAGCAGGACCCCAAAATCTCCGTTGCTCCAAAAAAGGTGGCTTCGCGGTTTACAAAGCCGCCTGCACGATCAAAATGTTTTGTGCGTGTACTTGCTCAAGAATACATTTTTTATCGTTATCAGCAAATACTTAGTTTTTTTCTGCGTAGCGCTCCCATGTGTTTTTAGCTTGTGCTGCACGTGTTGTTTGGCACATTGTCCGACGTTTTGCTCCACGTCCTGGGAGCTTGTTTTTCCTGAAGAAGCTCCCAGCACGTGGATCGAATGTCGGACGTCACGCACAAAAAGACGTGATACGACCCAAACACACTTACCTAGGAGAGCTTTACATGCACGACGCTCTCTTACTTTGACAAAGGGTTATTGAGCGTGGAATTGTTGCTAACAGTAATGTTTTTTTATGATGATTTTGCATGTGTTTATCGTGATGATTGTGCTAATGGTGGTCATAATGGGGCAGTTGATGAACAAGATGATGATGAGGATGGAAGTTGTATGATGATGGTCAAAAACAAAATTAAAATGGTGTTTTTTGTGGTCGTATAAAGATGGTGGTGATAGTCTTATAAAGATGGTGGTGATGGTGATCGTATGATGGCGGGGAGATGACGATAATGGTCGTATGACGACGGGGGTATCCACAATATCGTGACGATGTCTGTCGTGCGTCAACGAGAGGGAGTCCCTGACTTGAACCCCCTCCACGTTTCTCCTTTCAATCCTGCAAAAGCGAGGAGCGCCGTCCTGCCCACAACAGGACCTGCGCATCAAGAACATGGGCTCCTGGGCCAGCCTGGGCAAGGCGCCGGCATCGTCGGGCAGCGGCGGCGCCAAGACCAGCAGCGACAGCTTCGAGCAGTTCCGGCGTGCGGCGCGGGAGAAGGAGGAGCGCGAGCGTGCTCTCAAGCTGCTGGAGGAGCAACGGCGCATGCAGATGGTGCAGGCGGAGCGCGAGCGGATGCGCCTCGAGCAGGAGCGGCAGAGGTGAGCGGCGAAACCGGTGGTAACTCGGAAACCGGCCTGTCGCATCGTTCGTGCGTCGTTTTGAATTTTACATTTGAAACGCGCCCCATCGATGGGTTGTATTACTTGTGTGCCGGTTTACGCAGTTGGCACCACCTATTAACCACAGTGGCGAGATGTTAACTACCTCGCCCGGTATGCAGGAGGTCGTGGGTTTGATCCCGACCCTGGCACCTGTTTATTTCAAGTTTGTGTGTTCTCCCTGTGGTCACGTGGATTTTTCTCCGGGTCCAACAGTTTTTCCCCTCCACATTTAGAAGCAACCTGTGTTTCGCGTGTTGGGCTACTCCTTATACATTTCCACGTGATATCAGTTGAGCTATCGTTTGTGGTCAGGTTGCTTCTGGAAAAGAGGTTATGTAGCTCAGTGGGCCTTACCTGGTAAAATAAAAATAGTTTCGTTTATACCGGCAGCTACGTTGTACATGTGTTTGTTTATCTATGGGAGCAAATGGAACCCGGATGAGCCCGTGCAGAACCGGGGGGGGGTAGAGAATATACAAACGCCTGTAATTAGTTAACAAAATATGTAGGTATGCTTACACTGAGAGAGGTTATCCTGCGCTTCTTGGCATGAAACGCATACCAAGAGCTGTACAATTCACAGGAATGCGAGAGTCAGAAAGAAACGAACGCAAACTGCCCTTGTGGCTACACTCACTTTGTTTCCAATAGAGCTGGCATTTCCACTTGATTAAGTTGTCGATCAGTATGCCAATGAAAAAAAAAGAGTGAAACGGTCACCAAAAGGTAAGACGCTCGACCACCTCGGTTGCGAGCGTCTTCCGAAACGCGACGGCGCCCCCCCCCCCCACCCCCGTGTCCAACCCCGCCCCCCCCCCCCCCCCCCCCTGTTGCGGCCAATGAGATTAACGCCGAAGGAAAACGTCTTGCGCCTGTGCCCTCTGGACGCAGGGAGCGCGACGAGGAGGAGGCGCTCGAGCGGGCGCAGCGTGCGCAGGAGGAGGCGCTGCTTCGGAGGCAGCACGAGGAGCAGGTGGCGGCGCAGGCGGCGCAGGCGGCGCAGGAGATGGTGGCCCGCGAGCAGGCGGCGCAGCAGTCGGCGCAGGCCGCGCGCGACCGCGAGCTGGCGCGCAAGCGGGAGCAGGAGCGCCGGCGGAGAGAAGCGGTGAGCTCCCCCCCCCCCCCCCCCCCCCGCCGCCCTTCCCCGCGCTGGCGCCGTTCATCCCCTCAACTCTGTTCCGTCCGTCTTGTTCGCTGTGTAAGCCCCAGCTGTGGCTCTTACTTGACGCGCATGGTTGGCATGAGATGTGTGCTGCGGGTGTTCCATCAGTGCAGGGGGTCGGCCACCAAAATAACAAAAGAGGAGGCATTTTATTTTTCGATTTCGGTAAACCCCCACCCCCCCGATATGAGAATTGCACGTGTTGGTTACGAGATGGCGGTCCTTAAGTAACGTCACGAAGCAGTTGAAGTGCCGCACGCGGCTCCGGAGCCGCGGTTTTGCCCACCCCATGCACCAATGCAGGGGTCGGCAACCTTTGGCTCGCGAGCCAGATGCGGCTCTTTTGATGGCTGCATCTGGCTCGCAAATAAATCTTAGCTGACATTTCTTAACATGATGAGACTTATAAGACTTATCGTGTTAAGAAATGTCAGCTAAGATTTAATTGCGAGCCAGATGCAGTCCATCAAAAGAGCCACATCTGGCTCGCGAGCCCATAGGTTGCCGACCCCTGCATTAGTGCCACCTAAAAATGGGTCCTTCGCAGCCAGACGCCACCTGCTGCTGCTCGTCCTTAACAACACGTTTAACCAGACAATGCAGTAACACTACGCCCTGTCTTCCAGGTAAAGGCTTTCATAGACGATAGTCCAATATGTTGGATAGCGGCCGTAAATAGCAGTTGGTTTCTCTGCAGTGAAGAAAGGGGCATTACCTGAAATATCGAGTATTAGATATTCTCATTTCCGGTAGTGTTATTGACTTAAGTTCATACTTTATATAACTCGCTTATCACCCTCCCCCAGAGCTTTTGCGCATGTTCACACATTTATTATTTTGCCACGGCCGCGCGTTGCACTTTGTGATCGTGAAGCCTCTGCCTCGACTAACGTGAGCTCTTGTGTGTGTGTTCCTTCCATCAGCTCACCGGGACCATTGATATGAACCTTCAGAGTGACATCATGGCCAGCTTTGAAGAGAACCTCTTTTGAAGGAGCCCTTGCTGAACTGCTACAGAGTTATACGACAGACTACAATTATTTTTTACTATTGGGTGCGCCGTGTTGACCTCGTGTAAACAGGAAAGGGGGGTCGTTTAACGGTCTGCAATTTCCTAAACACAACAAAATAAACTTAAGTGCTCGCGAGGACTCTGTTTGACCGTGCCAGGACAACAAGGTGATTTTAACGTCCCCGACCCACCTCCCCTCTCACCCGCTGTCCGGTGTCCAGTCATCGTTTAGCTTCGTCACTTAGGTTTATGCTTCCACATCGTAGCGGAGTTAACGTTTGTTGGGCTTTTTGTTTCGGACGTGCGAGCACGTTGCGCGAATGACACTTGTAAATATATACGAAACGGCCGCGCTAACCACACGGAGGGTCGGTCATGGGCCCCCCCCCGCCAGCTGGCGATCGCCGGCGTTGTTCGGCCAGTGGAATCGTCGCCGCGGTGGTGGAAATGAAGCGTTCTTCGCGTGTACATTTGTGAACTTGCCTCGGGAGGGGTCTGATGGCGTGAATGTTTTACAGTACAAGTGCTATTTTACACGATAGCTGTAGGGTAGAAGATTTGTGTATCCGTAATTTCATTTGATGACAGTTTATTTATACATTTCCTTTCAGACCAGGTTAACAAATCTGTAAGCTTGCGTGACGGATGCATACTTAACGATTTGAACTTTACCTATCCGAGCTGCATTTTGATTAAAAAAAACCGGGATGACTTGCATTAATGTAAATCTCACTTGGTGGGCCACTGACAGTAAAGGAATACACAACACCGTTGCTGTATTGTCAACACGAACAGGTGTTTATGGTGAGAGGACAATTGCATCCACCTGTTGGTAATAGATAGACTATATTAGTCGCGGAGGGAAAAGCTATTCACTCATCCCCGTCCACCTTTTACACGGTATGGAAGAAAGAAAGCGCGGAAGGTTCACAGTTTTTTTTGTTTTTGTTCGCCGAGGAAGGAAAGGAACTGACGGGGGACGGCTTGTTACTTTGCGGTGTTTGAAAGCATCGGAGCGGTTGCTGTCCACTGCAGCAGGGTGCTGAATCCTGCACATGTGAATTTGTGGCAAACACTATTGTAGAGTGACTGTGCCTGCCGGGTGGGTGGGTGGGTGAGCGGCAGAAGAAGACTAAGAAGAAACGGTGGTGGTGGCGGCGGTGGCGGCGGCGGCGGCGGTAGCGCGAACACAACACAAGGCATAGAAAATCCGTCAGCATTGCATCACTGTGTATATCATGTAGTACAAAACGTTGCCTTCGGCTTAGCTTGTCATTTTATCCGTGTAGGTTGGGTCACCGAGGGCTGGGATTGTGTGTGTGTGTGCGCGCGCGTGCACACGCGCGCGTGCCCTGTTGTGAAAGCGCGCGTGCGCGGTAGCTTATGCACAAGGGTCGTGTGCATTCACGCATTTGTACATGTAAATATACGCTTAGTTTCTGAGATTAATGTTGCGTTGTATTGAGATTATAGGGAAAACAAATATCTACGAAAAACGAAATGGGGTGGGGGGGGGGGGTGCGCAGCGATGGGCTCTACTCAAGGACACTGAGTTTTTATTTTCCCCGCACTCGCCGAGTTTCAACGTTGAACTTGTGCTGTCTCGCAGCGTCTCTGTTAACCCTCCTTCCTGATGTGCCATTGGCTGTCGACGCTGCGTTGCGGACACGCTTATGCCGTCGCAATCCCAGCCTGGTTCAAAGCAAGACGAGAACACAAGTGACATTATGCTAGAGAAATGGGATACAAAAAAAATACAAGAAAAGTATTTTTTTTTATTTCGGGGGGTGAAATTATTTCCATCGTTATCGACTAAACTGCCATTTTGTGTATATTTTGTGTTCAACCTTGGAATTTCCCAGGCATGTAATGCATTTTTAAAAAAAAATCTTGCTAGTGGCTTATATTGTTTTAAAAAAAAATCATTTTTTTGCCCCCTTTCCATTTTTGTTTTTTTTATATAGAATTACAGAAGACGACTGGCTTTCCAGTAAATTGTACGTGCAAGTGTATATATGTTTATGTATTTACAAAGGGAATGTTTTACAATTTGGCTGTGTTTTACTTGTGCCAGGGGGAAGCAGTCCAGGCCTCCGAGAACAGGAGGCAGGCGGGCTCCCCTGCTTGTCGGTTCGTATTTAATGTCGGTGCGTTAAGGTGTTGGCTACGTGGCACAGCGATTGTGGTGTTAAATCTCAGTTACTGTTCATGACTGGTTTCTCTGCCGGAAGTCCGAGAAGGAAAATTGATTTCGTGTATTTTTTTTTGTTTCTCTCTCTCGCTCACAGTTTTAAGATTTTAAATGATATAATTTTCTTTGCTGTACGTTTTTGTGTTTTTATTTCCTTACACGTTTTTTGTTTGTTTTGTTTATATAATGTTATCATTCATTTACCACTGGGTCTTAACCAAAGACGTTTTTTTCGATTTTTTCTTTTTTAAATAATTCCCATTAATGGCTTGGTGAGAGAGCGTCCGTCGGTGAGGCGTCGAGTGTTAAGCGACGTAGCTAGTGTCCTCTGCATATCGCGACGGGCCGAGCAGCAGCGCCGTGGAAGGGGGTGCGCGTTGCTCCATGGCCCTCGATTCACGGCCTTCCGAGCACCACGGGCACAGCGGCCAGAAGAAATACGTGAACACCCCCCCCCCCCGTTCCAGTGTTTGTAAGCTCGTCTCCCCCCCACAAAATGGTATTTATTTAATCGGGGGCTTAATTTTTTGCCGGGTTTATCCCGCGTCGGCAACCCGGAATATGTTATATTCCCGCACGCCAGCCGGTGCACCACATCCAGTATACCTCGTCGCTACGGCTTTGGCTACTGTAGTCGCGTGCCACCTCTCCAGTCTATTGCGAGCGAGCCCTGGGGGCGCGGGGATGGGGGGGTTGTCCCGTGAGAAGTTGAGCCATCTGCGTCTCGCAAAGCAGCGGCGGCTCCAGCCAAGCACAGTCCTCTTCCGCGTCTCGCCACGACCACTGCGCGTCCGCCCCTACTTGATATAACGGAATCCAGCCTCTCGAGACGCGCGCATCGCATTGTTGTAGTTTGCCTGTCACTGGCTTTTGCGCAATTCGCGTGGCGGCAATCAGTTTGGCGGAGCGACGGGCTGTCCTTTGCACGTGATGACTGACAGGGGATGTGCGAGACTGCTGCTGCTGCTGCGTGTGTTTCGTCTCTACAATGAGAGAGGGAAGACATGCCCGCGCGAAAAAACAAACGATTAAACTGATCCCCCCTCCTCCCGGACCGCCACTACCAAATAGTCGGAAGTCGCCAGCAGTGTTTGAATTCGCAGAGTATATTTTCTACGTTTAAAAAAAAAACTTGCATGCGACGGCGCACAGAAATCTACGCCAATAGGGGGGCGGGGGGGCGGAAGGTGGGGTGTGCATGTCTCCATTAAACAAGTCTGTTTTCTACTCCCAAGCGATTGCAAGAGGAGGCAGTGACGTGCAATGGCGAAATGGGCGAATTGATTGGAATGTCTGGCCAGCAACGAACGCGTCAACAACTCTGTGGCTTTTATGAGTCCCACGCCTGTGATTTCCCGACAGGTGATGTGACCAGGTCTGTGCGGACACATTTGAACTCGTCGGGTGCTTAACTCGGTTAGGGTTCTTATCTTGTGGATATGATCCCAACCGCCGGCTGAAGTGCTCAAAGAAATAAAACACGAGTCCCTCGGAACTGACTTGGCACAACGATTCAGCCTGTCCACGAGACGGCGTCGTCTGTACGAGATGTGTAGTGATGGGACTTTATTACATCCCCCCCACCCCGTTAGCGATGTGCAGGAGACCCAAATGCCTGCCTTTTGGAAGCGCTCATTTCAAGAGAATGCCCTTCAGGCATCTGCCCCGTCCTGATAAAAGATTGTCCCTATAAACCAAAACTAACATTTGACCCGCATGCACGTTGGTATACAAGAAAATACTGTTATACATCTGAGTTCAGTATATATATGCGGGTATGTTACAGCAACAAATGCTTAATTTAAAATGCAGTAGAAGATGCGTTATTATTTCTGTGTTTAACCGCTAAACCTTTGTTATGTTAAGTATTTAATATCAGTGTAACGTTAATATAAAACAAACAAAAAAAGCCATAATTTAAATATTCCTTCAAAGTTCACGCGCGAGTTGTAGTTCTATGGTCGGCATTGCCCGTCACTGGATTCGGCAGTATTGTATCCAGCTAAGGGAGGGGGAGGAGGGGAAGCATCATTGTCAATTGGCTCTTGTGGAAACTTGCTGCAAGGGGGGAAATGCGTGTAAAGTATATTCAACAAATCACACACGCTCACCAGCAACACGTGCGTAGGTTATTCTCGTAAACCTGCTGAGTGTACGGAGAAAGTATGCCTTTTAATGGCTTGGTGCCGGCTATTTAAGACTATAAGTATATGTACGTACAGTATATATAATTATGGGTATTGCGGAGGGGTTGGGGCGGGCCGCGTGTTGGTCACGTGTAGGAAAAAAAATCAGCTGCTGCTTTGTAAATTGGCGTCACTTTTATAATACGTTATTCTCATCATCCGTCATGATCGATCCACTGCTGGATGGAGGCGCCCCCAAGTCGTTTTTCTAAGTCGCAAACACAGGTACACCCACGTTTTCGCAGCTGCATTGCGTTTATGAAGCACACGGCAGAGGACTTTAAGAACTGTTCCCAAATAAAAGCAAGAGAAACCATTTCGCCCATCACTGAATTAATGGTCATGGTCTAACAAAAAAACCCCAATACGGCCACGTGCAGCTTTTTGTGTGTGTGTGGGTGGGTGCGGACGTGCGGGCGGGGGGGGGGGTTGCTGGTCTGGACAAGGCTGAGATCATTGTACAAGCAATGTGGCAGGTCACATGGCAACGCAAGGTGTGATGGGAGTTGTGCCTTCCTGCTGTTCGCACAGCTTTGCGTGTGTTCAGTCTCGTCGTGCGCTGCCGGGGCGCACAGCCGGGCATGCATCCCCCCACCCCCGGTTCTGATGGTGGGGTGGGCTTCTCATCATTTACACTGTCGTTGGATTTGCAGCGCCACAAATAAGTTCACTAATCCGGCCATTCTACCGTCCATCCATCCGCGGCGAGCATTTACAAAGACAGCAGCCCTTTATATATTATGTACTGTGTATGTAAGTGCTGGCTGTGCGCGGCCTGCCAAAGTGATTTAATGATTATTATTTTAACTAAACAAAAATTATTGTTGTTGGTGTTGCTGTATTGGCAGATAAACGAGGATGTTTCGTTCACCTTGTTTCACGTTATTAATCGCCCAAGCGAGTGCTGCCAACGTAGCAGCAGGTGCAATGAGTACGCGCACACACACTCGCACACACGCGCACACACACCGACGGTATGTTAAAAACGTTAGCTGCCCGCGACTGGCACTAACTCATCAATGACGCACGCTCACGAAGCCCAATTATCTCACCGATTAATTTATTATTCCTCCTTTCATCGGACACACTTGTTTTAAATTATAGGATAACAATATATATGCTAACGTGAACATAGACGGGACTTTGTAATTTATACTCCTTTTGGAGAGGTCCTGGTTACTGCTTAGTAAGAAAGCGGCGGCTCCGTTCAGTCTCACGGGAATGTTAAGGGGCGCACGTGATGCGAATGCCGTGTGCGAAACTCTCCCTCGCCACTGCCTTCATTGTCCACAATGTTACCGATGGCCGTGGCTTTTCATCATCATCATCACCACCACCATTATCAGCACCACCGCCACCATCAGCAGCCGTGATAATCCCACTGCTGGATGGAGGCATCGCGATCCTGCGACACGTGGACTGTTTGCGTCGCTTGATCGTGAAAAAAAGAGATGGATTATTTTTTAATGGTTTGGTAAAACCGTTTCCCCCTGTTTTTAAGATTTGAATCAAGCCACTTGCTTTTACGCCTCCCCTTGCCCGTTAATAATTTTTTGACTATAGAATGTGTCAGTATATTATTGTATAGTCATCATCGTCGTCATTATCATCTTTGCGTTGACGTGCAGTACGTTGTAGTTGGTATTCTAGGTGATTTTAATTCCCGTAACTCTTTCCCTCCCGTTTTCTTTTTGACTTGGCATATTCACAGTTGTGCTGGGGCCTGTGGTTTTTTTTCTTTTTGTTTGACAAATTCATACGACACGGTTTCGTTATTTTGTTTCGCATCGGGTTTACGCAATCGCTCCCCTCCCTCTCCGCCTCCCCCTTTCTGTAAATCGTACATACAATGGAGTTGGTAAAACGAAAATATACGTATTCATCCACTGAGCGAGATTGTCCCTGTGATCATTTTTGCCAAGTCACGTGCTGCAATTGTAATGGGAACGCGACACACTGGAAAAGTGAAACAATTAAACTGCCATTTGGTTTTTAATTAATAATACTTTACATTTGTGTAAGGCGCCTTCCACCAATGTCCCAAGGCATCGAATGTTTTTTTGTTTAACATTGCACATGCACAGCGCAGAGATGCGTGCACGGGGGGGGGGGGGGGGGGGGGGGGGGGGGGGGGGGGGGGTAAATTGGGATCCAGAACGAAGGATCGCGTTGGACTCGAGGTTTGCCCGGCATCACCCCAAACCCCCTGCAGCAAAGAGCCCTGAGGGCTCTCGGGCACGGCGCGGCACGGCTAGACGGGAGCGCGGGCAGCCAATGTCATGGAACGCGTCCGCCGGGGGTTCCGAGCAGGGAGGAGATGGAGCGATGAAATGCTGGGTGGGTTATTAACGTCGCAGGATCGCGAGAGATGCCGGCGACGGTTTCAGGAGGCGCTCCAAAAGTGGCTTGACCGGCTCGATGCTCACGATGATGGTGGTGGCTTTTTTTTGCCGAGTAATCTCCACCCCCCCCCCCCACAACTTCCTCCTGAACTTAAAACACCACAGCCTTGCCGATGACATCACCCACCGATTGCAACGAGAGCAGCCCCACTCGAGCAGCAGCGACTGCTGCTAACCGCATCGACGATGACGCCGCCGGCGAGCGAGAGGGGTGGCGGCTCGAGGAGAAGGGGGTGGGGACGTTAATCGACGTTGCCACCACCTCCCAGCCAAGAGCAACAGCCGCAGGGCGATATCGGAGGTTGCTCGCGAGTCGAACGAAAGCCGATGAGCACACGCCTCGTCAAGTCCGCGCGATCGCTCTTTGCGAATTTCGCCAGGGTGTTTCTGCGAAGCTCGTGAACTTTACCAGTTCGCAAAAAAAAAAAACGATGGGTTTTTGGAAGGAGTTCTAAACTGCTGTGGAAGAAACGCATGGGTTTTAAAAAAAAATTTGGTTGTTACAATATACATAACTTTTCCACGTTGCGAGATAGATATGACATTTTGGGTCGGCTGTAAACCATATGGTGGCAATTACGATTTAAAAATTAGTTTTATTCGATTCAAGGCCTGGAGCGTTGGCGCAGCAGTTAGCGCACTGCCCTACAAACCCAGCAACCCGAGTTCAATCCTTGACCGTAGCTCACAGTCGGTTGATATCCGAACCGTTCCTGGGCCCACCGCTAACCAACCGCCACTGACGAGCGTGGTGAAGAACGGTAAAACAGGGCCCCGACGATCCACAGCAACTTGGCGAGATTCTCACCCAATGTAGAGTACCCGCTGTGTGTGGGGGCCAAGTAGCTGTGACCACCTGTGCAGTGTGGTTCCGTATGTGTCAGTGCGTCTCCGTGTGTGTGTCTCGTCAGTGTGTGTGTTCACTCGCAAAATCGGTGGTGCAGCGAGTAGCGCGCCACGCTACGAATCTGGCAGACGCCCGGGTTCGATTCCCATTCCTAGCGGCCACCAACAGCGGTGACGATTAATCTGAACCGGCCCTGGGCCTCCCCTAGGTCTGCTCAGCCTCAAGTGACTTTGGCTGTACCAGGTGCGGTGTGAAAAAAAGCGTCCGAAGTTGGTTTGCTCGCCACCCATCCCCCTCGTGTGCCACGCCGGCCTTCATAGGGTGCCTGCCACTCGCTCACAGCACTTGCCCCAGTAGTCTGTGAAGGATACACGGGGGGGGGAGGAGGGGATCTTCGTCTCTCACTGACGAGATGAGTGCAATCTTGATTTGAAGCTTTCGTGACTGCAGGAATCCATACTCTTTGGTTCTTTCGGTAAAGTCACGTGGGTAGAAATAAAACAAGAGATCACGACGTTTCGATTGCAACACAAGTTATCGCATTAATGCAAACCGACACACCTGATGACGACCGTTTGTGTTATGGTCGAAACGTCGTGAGAATTGTTATTGTTTTATATATATATTATTTTATTGTTTCCCTTCAACGTGACTTTACCGAAAGAGCTAAGAATATGAATTACTGCAGTCACGAAAGCTTTTAATCAAAATTTACAAGTTATCGCCTTAAGGTGAAAATCGCGATAGCAGCGCGATGTCTGCTGCCGACATCGTGATTTATTTGGTTTTATTTCTACTTACGTGACTTTACCGAGAGATGAGTGCTGCAGAGTAAATGTTTGCGGTGCGTGGAAAGCGTTCATACTAATCCACTGCTGGATGCCTTGCCATGGGGTCTGTTTGGATATACTTCAGCACGCTGGTCAGTGCGGGCTGGTGAAGTCAGAGGAAGCGGGACCGGTTCCACTGTGTCACTCGCCACTGATGCGATCGAACTCGGGCATCCAGAGGCACAGCGGTGTTCTGTTCTGCTCATCGTGTGTCGCCGAACCGCGAGCAAACCGGACGAGCAATCGCGCGGCCCGTCCACGGCGAAGGGTGCTTGGCACGCCGTGACCTTCACGCCGTGACCTTCACGCCGTGCTTATTTTAGCCCGACTCCGATCACTTTCGATCCCCTTCCCCTCTTCCATCTACGACCGCTCTTGCGCTCGGTGTACTCCCCGGGGAAATCCTCACAGCCGATGTTTCGCTGTCGGGGGAGATGTTGCTGCTGATGCTGCTCCTGCTGCTACTGTGCATTGCAATATTGCAGAGGGGCGGTAGTCGTAGCGGTTAGCGCGCTGCGCTACGAACCTGGCGAGCCGAGTTCGATTCCCACTCGTGGCCAACACCGGTGACGATTATCTGAACCGGTCCTGGGCCTCCCGTGGGTCGACTCAGCACTCAAATGGGTGCCTGGCGCGATGTGTGGATTCCAGAAACTAGCGTCGAATAATTACCCCCTCCCCCCCCCCCGTGCACACGTCATAGACAATTTATATTTTGCAATGAACGAGAAGAGTGCCAAGTGTGAGTTGGACACCCGCTCCGACGGTAGGAGCATGGTTCACTCCCGATTCATTTTGAGAGTCCAAAGTCAACATCGGTGTGAAACCCTCGCCTCGCTACTGCCATTGAATTCCATTCTCCCGCCCCCCCCCCCCCCCCCCCCCGTGCCAGACAAAGCACACACACAATCCGCCCCGCAAGCGTCGCCTGTGCCAGGCTAGGTGCACAAGCGTAACCCCGGCATCTTAAACCTCCGCCAGTCGCTCAAATTCGCGCGCGCGCGCGCAGCGAGACGGTGGCGGATCCAGGGGCCTAACGCCACCACCGCTAGCCATGAGCATGCGGCGCTTTGAGCCATTTGCCAAACACGGAATATCGGTACCAGCCAAGGTGGCAACTGCTACCTATTATTTTTGTAAAGGTGTCTATCTCCAGGTCACAAATTTCTATGATAGCAACAAAGCGGCACCTTGACAGATGTTCTACTGTGATTGTTCCACCTGAAGACGGAAGCTTGTGTTGCCTCCGAAACGGCGTGATTTAATTGTTTATTTTATTTTACCTACGTGACTTTACCGAATAAAACCAAAAAGCGGCGGTAGCTATTTGTTTACAAAACTGTTTTGTTTAAGGAGCGTATTGCGGTGTTTGTGTGTGTGGTAGACTCTCACTTATGGGGAAACGAATTACTTAAAGCATCGAGGCAATTTACAATCGCTTAGATCGCGCGTTCATATGAGACACGCCATGGTGGACACCCTTCCTACCCAAGGTGGACACTGCCCGTGGTGGAGACTGCGCGTGGTGGAGTAGCTTTTGTCACCCCAGGTGGTACCGGTAAAAAAAAACCCGCCTTGGCTCACGGCCTACATTCAACAGCCGCCCCCATTCACCTGCAAAAACAATCATCACGCACGCGCACACAAAGACAAAGATCACCCGTATAGCACTCATACGCTTTTGGGGCAAGTGCTGTTAGCGAGCACCTATGAAGGCCGGAACGGTACACGAGGGGGTGGGTGGCCAGCACCACTCCCGACCGCCTTTGTCTCCCTAGTGGCAATGTTTACACACCGCACCAGGTACTCATTTGAGGCTGAGTCGACCTAGGGGAGGCCCGGTACCGGTTCAGATAATCGTCACTGGTGTTGGCCGTGAGCAGGAATCGAACCCGGGTCGCCAGGTTCATAGCGCAGCGCGCTAACCGCTAAACTATCGCTCCCCACGCACACACACGTAGACACACACACGGGCACACATACATAGGCACACACGCGCACACACACGTATACACACACGCGCACACATACGTAGACACACACGGGCGCGCGCACTCGCCAATGAATAACAGACACAACAGTGATCGTTTATTTTATCCTGAATTTCAGCACGCTTTATGGGAAGTAAAGTTAAGCGGCACAATTTACTGCGTGTATATTTTCCGAATAAAAAACTATTCTTTATATTAATAGCGCTGTGAAATTCCGCGTGCAATTTTGGCGACATCTCTTGCCCCTTCAAGTTCGCGATTTCGTGAAAAAGGTCCCACTGGTCTCATATTCACCACGGGACGAGGAGGTGGAGAGAAAAAGTTCTGGCTCCGTGGGTGTCCCTGGAGTGTGGAGCGTGGAGTATGGTGCGTGGAGTATGGTGCGTGGAGTGTGGTGCGTGGAGTGTGGAGTAGGGAGTGTGGTGCGTGGAGTGTGGAGCGTGGAGTGTGGAGCATGAAGTGTGGAGCATGGAGTAGGGAGTGTGGTGCGTGGAGTGTGGATCGTGGAGTGTGGATCGTGGAGTGTGGAGCATGGAGTAGGGAGTGTGGTGCGTGGAGTGTGGAGCGTGGAGTGTGGAGCATGGAGTAGGGAGTGTGGTGCGTGGAGTGTGGAGCGTGGAGTGTGGATCGTGGAGTGTGGAGCATGGAGTAGGGAGTGTGGTGCGTGGAGTGTGGATTGTGGAGTCTGGAGCATAGAGTAGGGAGTGTGGTGCGTGGAGTGTGGATCGTGGAGTGTGGAGCATGGAGTAGGGAGTGTGGTGCGTGGAGTGTGGATCGTGGAGTGTGGAGCATGGAGTAGGGAGTGTGGTGCGTGGAGTGTG